AGTCACACAAAACCCTCCAGCAGACCATTCTGCTACTTCAAAAGACTGAACTCCCACCAAGCAAAAATGCAACACTATTTGAACTTACTGTATTCCATAGTTTGTGTGAAAATGATGTCCGTCACTATTCTGTCACAATGTGGGATTTAAGAACATTATTATTTAATATGCTGGCAATGGGGAAGTGACTTGTGTCTGTTGTTGTCTGTTTTTGTTTATGGGTATCTTGGAGATGATATGTACTGTATCTTGGAAAATATTCTTAAATCCAGCTCAATGGACACATTGTTCTGGGGGTATTCATAAAATTGCTTTAGCAATTCAATTGCATGCATTATACAGTACCATTCATGCTTATCTGACATATTGTCTTTATCTGACAAAATGCCCTTTTAGACAATTACACGGCTCGTGCATCCATCACTGATAGGTGACTTCTGTAGATCAATTTCACTTGTTATATCAGTAGTGATACCTGTATGATACCTGCCAACCAATTTTTATTCCACGCCGAGTTCTTGACTTTAAGTTTTAGCCACTTGCCTACAATGGCCTTTTTTGGTAGGCAATTACCTGGTAGTGGTTTTTAGAGACCTAAGAAACCTACTGTGGCTATCCGCGGGGGGCGTGTCCAGTGTGTCCTTGCTGGACGAGCCACAGCTGTGGGGGCTCTACAAAGGCACACTGGACACCCCCCGAAGGGACGAGCAGGGGTACCCATGGAAGTTGAGTATCTTTTCACCAGCAGTCCCGGATGGGACTGTACCCAACGTTATTTTTCTCTTTGCCTATCATCCCGGCACATATCTCTACCGGGGCAGGCAGACATTTTCCACACACTGGGTTTCTCTTTTGTTTTGGCCTTACGTACCTTGCTTTGACCCTGTTAAAGTCCAGTCTGATCGCCCCCGTGCTAGCGGCTCTTCTTTTTTCCCCAGGCTGGACCCCATTGTATAGGGCAAGCCCAGCCTGGATGTCACGATGCTCAGCGGCACAACCCTCTTTTTGTTTTGTTTCGTTTTTCCGCCCTTCTGCGTGTTATTTCCGGTTCCTGCTCCCCTCGCACCGGTGCTTCCGTCCCTCAGTGAGGGGCGTTGACTTTTTTATCGGTGCTTGCAGCTCTGCCCACTCCCTCACTGTTACGCTACGTATAGGATCTGACCTACTGTACGTATAGGATTACACGTGTATCCCTTCTTTTGCTTTTGCTCTTGCTGTTTTGCAGAGTGGTTGAAAACACGTTAGAAAAAGAACACCTTAATACAGTCTTAATGACCAGATGTTTTCCATTCCAGAATGGAGATTATTTGCATCCGCACTTGAGAGATCCCCAAACGAAATTCCAAGAATTCACCTTTATTGCAAAAATGCATAAAACAACTAGTTGAAACAATGTTATTCATCGTCGGCCAGAACACAAAAATGCAAAAATACTTAGAAGCTATATTCTCTGCTTTGAACAAATTGTGAAGTTGGTATAATAACGAATCCAAAATTAGAAAAAATGTAAAGACTACAAAGACTTCTGTCTCTGCATCGGTCCTTTGGTCTTTAGCCATGTTGCCTATCAGCTTTCAGAATGGAAAATAGAATGGCGTACGTTTTTTTCAGTGCTGAGACAGAAGTTTGTTCCAAATCATATTTGCAAAACAAAAACAGTTAATATACATCAGATCTGCAGATAAAAGAAAGAAAATGTGATTTGCTTGAATGCCGATGCTTAAATGAAACTAGTTTTCATGGGTTGGTTGAGATAGTGGGGTACGTCTGTGCATGCAGATGTGGATCCTTCCACGGGCAGCAAGCAGAGTCTAACCATTGACAATCTTTTGGGAAATGGCACCAGGAAGAGTGTACAGGAGCAAAGCAATGAACAGAGCAGTTATCAACAGGACAAGGGCGATGATGATGTACTTCTTGTAATTCTTCCAGATCAAGTGGAAGAAGCACTTGAACGGATTCATAAACCAGGAAAATGATGTGTCTGGTCGGCTAGGAAAACAAAAAGACAAATAATCCAGTCAGGGAGTGAATTCGAATTGATGATTAATCTAGACACTGCAAGTTCTACATTACATTTGGATTTTAAGGGAAATTTCAAGATGAAAGACCTATAGTAATGCAAGAAATAACCCTGCACGCACTACGTAAGTCTATTTAGTGAATGGCTATACTAATATGAAACTAATGATAAGTGAAAGAGTGCGATCTGTCTCATTAACGTTCGCATTATTTACGGCACTATTCACTGTATTACTCAAAAGGTTTTTGACTCGCCAGTAGTTGTTAATACTGTGTATGTGCTAAACTCCTTAAAGCAAAAGAAGGCTAGATTTCTATCTTTTTTGCTTTCCCAAAGCTAGTCATTATAGATCAGATAGAGGCCCATTAATTGAGTTTTCGTACAAAAATACTGCACTTACTTAGCAGACCAAGACACTACAGTCTATATTTAATACAGTCTACATTAATGTAGTGTATTGGTAACAGTGTAACACCAGACAAAGAGGAGAGAAAAACAAATCAAACTCCATAAGGAGAAGAATAATCTCTTGGGGTCCATAGCATGTTTGTCTGCCCTCCAGGCACTAGCTGTGAGTAGTGATATAGTCTGAACGTCAGCATGTGTGCTCCATGTCGGGAGAGGTTGTGTGTGTACCAAAAGCTTTTGATTGTTCAGGAAAACAATATTTAACTGCTGTTAAGACAAGCTTTGCAGTCAGCTTTTGAGAAAATGCAGACTGTGCAAGTGGAGCTGCTCTTACTTGGGTTTCTCCAAGGGCTCTGGCTCTTTGCGGGCTCTGCCGACAGGATACTTCTCCGCCTCCTCGGCGGTCACCAGATGGAATTCAGCTTCCACTTTTCCCTGGAATTAAATGGAAATGAGGATATTGAATGATGTTATTTAACAGAAGTTCGAGAGGCGGTCAAATTCTAATGTCCTCTCTCCTATTCTCCTATGTATAAAATACTCGCTGACTACCCACAACCATGCAGACATCTTTTCTAGCTCCACTTACTCCTTTTCAACTTTACCATTGAAGCTGCCTCCCTGGTTCATTCCTCCTTCATTCTACTCCTTCAAATATGTCAGCTCGATTCATTAAAATTAGAATTTAACCAAACTACTGAATATACTCAAAGAAAGATTTTTATTAGTAGGAAAAGTGATGGTGATGTTTTTCATCCTATTTTGTAGAGAAAGAGTATATTCTGTACCTGTATGGTATTGATTTAACTTTCTGAACCTGTACAACATTATACTTCTGTGGTACATAATGGCACTGCTTTGCCTTTCTGAGCTCGTATGACTGTACATTATGTTCTGAGTCTAGTGCTGCACTCTGGTGTGGCTCGAAAGCCCTGTCTCCCTGTGCATCTGCTGTTTTTTGTGACACTTTTACTAAATCACTACAGAAATCAGAAATCTTTCTAGCTTCATACTTCTATATGAAGAAATATATATCGCATATTTCTATTAATGGAAAATACTGCTAATCTCTTACTTACTGTAAGTTCACTAGATTTAACAAAGGGCCACCAGCCTCTTGAGCGTTTCTGCTGGAAAATGGAGATCTTCTCTGTGGTGTCCTTCAGCATGTCCAAAGTGCACCCTTTGGCAGACTTGGCTCCTCTTGGGAATCCATGTAGGTCCAGTTCAACGGTTCCTTCAAAAGTCATCCACCTTCAGTAATCTCATCAGCCTAATAGTAACTTTACTTTCATTCCCAAGCCTCAGTATTATTTGTCATTTCACACTCTGTTACAAATAGGACAGTTTCTTATTGGAAAGTCACATTAGGGGAGCAGTTAACATCTAAGCAGATGAATCGATCATGTGACAAAAATGTTGAGGAATGAATGAATGAAAAAGATTTGACCGCTACTCAATATCCCTGAGAAAATATCTACTAATGTTCCACAAATGGGTATTGTTTTTTTCTGGATTTGGTGTGTCTCGCACCAGATGTGTCCATTCACATTCTCGGTTTGATCGTCTCGAATAACTTCATGAGATTTCTGTTTGGCATTTGGCTCAGTCCCACTGAGAAACTGACTCTGCCATCTTACCCAAAAAGTCGTCAGAAGACAGTCTCTCGAAATCCCAGACCTGCAGCACAAGCTCGGCTGGAAGCTTGCGCTCGGTCTTGTCCAGGGAGAAGATGTTCTCTCTTTTGTTGACCACCAGCACCTTCTCGGCAGGCAAGTAGTTGAATGGGAACACAAAGCGCCAGTTGAAGTTGCCTTCTCCCGTCAGCGAATTGTAGTGAACGTCTGTCTCCTGTCGGTCATCCTCAAGGCCTTTCAGCCACCTGGACCAAATGGGATAAATTGACTTCAGTACCTTTTTCTCTTAATTAATCATTTAGACACAACAGGTTTACCACTCTCTGTGGTTTCTCTGGCATATATGGGCTAATACGCCAGGGTTTTGTGAATTCAACGTGAATTAAAGCAATGTTATATTTTAATAGAGAACAATATATAGGAGTGTATAGTATATAGGAATATATACAGTAGTATCACTGGAGTATTTAATATCTACAGGTAAACACCTTTAAGATACTCTATGCAACACCAAAGAGCAAGCGGTATGTATCTAAGCATAGTTTGGTGCTAATCCCAAATTAAAAACTCACATATCCATAATGTCACTAGGTGCATCAGGAAATGATATACCACCTGGACAAATAGTACTAATGCAGAAAACAAAATCCTCCACTCTTTGATTGTAATGTTGAACTGTTACAGTAGGTGTCTTTGAAAAAATATATTAACATACTTTAATGACGCATTTGATTAAATCGTTTAAAAGTCTAAATCAGTATGTGCAGTCATGCCCCTACGCTTTTAATACTGTATATTTTGTGGTTACTGGGATAAGCATGTTTTGTCACAATTCTTTGGATCGATAACACTGGGCAGAGTGATGGCATACTGGCTGTGTGAACCCAGTGAGTGTGCTGATGGTGGGTCTGGGGAGGAGATTATACAATTAACTTTCAGAAGAAAGACCTAATTACTTTTACAGTATATCTTCCTGGTTTGGAAGGTGGGTGTGTGCCTTGACGCCGGATTCCCTTCTCACCTGAACCTTTTTCCATATTTCTTTTCAGGCACACTTAAGAGAGTATTTCCAGCTGTTGGCACTAACTGTAAGCACTAAATGGAAGGTAGTTTTCAATGAATGTCTTTTTCATAGTGCGCGTCTGTACATGAACCTTTTTGAAATCTTGATCAGCACAATACGTTATATTTCCAGGAACCTTTCAACCTCCGTCATGAGAGATGACTGTATTCTTTAATGTTTTAAGAGAATGTCATGCTTTTGAAAGAACCAGGCTACTATTTGGTGTTAATCTTTTTTTTAATGAAACGGCAGCCTTTTTTTTAACGAACAGCTTTAGAAAAAGCGGGTCAAGATGCACTTACCCCTTGACATAAATATCACTAGACTGTTGACCTGTGATAAAATTTGTGTCCTCTAAAATCACATCTTCAGTGTTCCAGATTACAATTCGCAGCTCATACCTTTGCAAGATAAACAAAAGTAAATTCTCACTTTGGTGAAACATGAAAAACAGGAGTGCAGCATCATTGAACAAGAGGTGGAAGGTCATTATGCGCAGCTGTGTAAAAACAGAGGGAAACACAAAACTTTATCTGCATAGCACTTCTTTTCATTTCAGGTAAAACTGGAAGCAAGATTTTTGAAAAAATACAGCCCAGCTGACACCTCTTTGGAAAAGAATATAGGAAAGGATATGAAAACTATTGCAGATACGTTTTCCTTGATATCAGGCCTGGCCAGAGACAGTGAGATACAGTATATGTTTTTTACCCTTTTGGTTTCCGTGGAGATATGTCAACCGAAGGCCCAGGAGCAGGCATATCCATGGGAAACATATCTACCCACATCTGCAATTGACCCTACAAAGCACAGAAAAACAGTGACACTCATTAGCTGGAATATGTGTTTTAGCAAGGACTCTTCAGTGGAGTCTGTCCCACCCACCCCTCTGTCTCTAGAGTCAAGTGGCACTTTGGTTTAGATTTGCAGTAACCAGAATTATTAGACATCTGTAATCCTATTCAACTGTGAAGACTTGAGCAAAAATAAATCAATACAATAAGTGAGAAAACCCAAGTACTGTATGGCAGAGATGAAAATCACAAATCTTCATGATTCATCAGGAGTGGAGTTCGTAAGTGTCTGAGACTCCAGGAGGTTGGAATGATTCATGAATATACCCCGTATCAGAAGCACAGCAAGAAAGGCAGAGTGGTTGTATTCCAGGCAGACCCCTGACTCACTGACCGGCCAAACGGAAATTCAGAATGACAAATGTTCTCCCGGAGATCAGCTGGGGTGATGAGGGTTAGGAACTAGGCACCGGTACAGTTATGGCTGCTGTCCTTGGAAATGTGAACTTTGGGCATTTGTCTGGAAGGTTGGAAGTACCTTTTCATACACAACATCAAGTATTCAATAGGAAACTCCATTTCTCTATAAAAATCTGTAGAGAATTTACAGTTTCATTTCAAAACACCAAGCAGCACAGGTAATATAAAACACTGTGCTGTGGCTGCAAGCAAAGAAGCCATTGAAATTTTAATCATGACATCATGTGAACCAGAAAGGCCTTGCAAATACCCCACAGCTCAACCGGTGTTGTAACTGCAACACATCGTTCAATCTTGTCTGCTGAGGGAATCTCGTCATTTGTGCAGTTTTAGTTCGTTTTCATGTTTATCACTAATTATCTGGCCTTATCTTCATAATTCTGTGAGTATATTTGTTCTTATTATTTTTTATTTGATTGTAATAAATACAGCCACAAGATGGATTTTGCAGTGATACGTGTATACCATTGGTGGAACAAATTAGAAAGATCTGTATTTTCATTTTAATGATGATCCTAATTTTGTTAGTGAAATTAGAATTATTACTTCCTGTAGGTAACTAAACAATAAAGAGAAAAAGCTGTTACACTAGTAAAAAAGAACAGAAACCTTTGCTACATGTAGCTAAAACAACTTATAACAGGTTAAGAAAGGACAAATACATGTCAATGTTTATTAATATTATAAATTGATTCCAGTTACCTGATCCATTCCAGGCTTTTCTTTGTGATAGAGGACCCTAGTCTCGATATGTTCTGGGACCAGTTTACACCCAACTTCAGGGAATTCTGACCAGCGATGGAGAATCTTCAGCGCTAGGTGCTCATAGGATTCTACTGTTTGATCTGCACAAGAAGTAACAGATGTCAACATCCAACCTTGGTTGTTGAAGTATATTTCAAATCGCTATTGCGCCGTCATTTGAAGGTTTAGCTTCTTAACAGGATTTCCTGATTTATTAATGGGCAGCAAAAATGTAGCAAAAAACACAAAATTGTTTTTTTTTCCTTACCATTCATTACAAAATATTTTTTCCCCAAAAAATATAGTTCCTTCCCTGTAATGTGAAAAAACGTTTAAGCAATTGACATTTTATTTTGTGATGTTTTATTTAGTGACATTGATAGAATGTCAATGTCATCAATACATCAGGATCCTTAATATACACATTTACCTGGCACTTTGTCTAGATTTAAAAACATGACCTTACATACCGTACCTTCATCTACAAAGACTGTTTTTCCAGTGAATACTTTGTCCCCTATGGTAATTCTCCCAGGCCTGAGGTGAGGTCCATCTAAGCGATGTTCTTTACAGAGCTTGGTCAGTAATTCAGTGGGTTTTATTGCATCTCTCCATGCATTGTAACCATCACTGTGAGAAGGAGAACAGTTACTGAATTTGAGAAGGTTCCAAAATTTTACAAACAGAAGAAGGACACACTGGCTGGAGTACTTTGTGAGCATCAGCCTTCTGTTGAATGGCTTATTATCATCATTTTTTTACGCTGTAATCTTCACGCACGTTTCTTTAATAACAAAAGGCAAACGTTAATTCAATTTTTCTTCTTTCTAGTATGGAATTGCCCCAGGCTAAATGATTCTTTCTGCCTTACATTACTAAGCTGTCAGACTTGCCTTTTCAGAAAACAGAAATGAAATGGGATTTCGATCGAACACCTGAAAATGACATTCAAGGCCGCGAAACGATGCCCGTTGCGTAACTCACATGGCGTACTCATTTTGTATCCCACAGGTTGCCCTGTGTCGGCTGTAGAATCTGTTCTCTAGGTCAATCTTAGTTTCTCCAATCAGGTCATCTCCCCCTACCATGTCGTAGTCATATATTAATATGGACAGTAAGGATTCCATGGGAAAAGTAGCTTGGATCTCAAAAGATCTAAAAAACAAAAAGCCAAGTCAAACGAATATAATTGTCAAACTTTTGGGGGAAATATCATTTTCATTTGCCACAGTGATGAAGCGGTTAGCATTGTCGCCTCGTAGTGTTGGGGCCCTGGATGAATTTCAGACCCCAGGTGCTACTGTATTTGTGTGGATTTTGTATGTTCTTCCCATGTTGGTTGTAGGTTTCACTTCCTATGGAAGCCCGTTTCTGCCAGGTAGTAAAAACAAAATGCGCTATGGTCTCTCAGAATTGCGACTTAGTAACTCAGAATTCCGACTTAGTCGCAATTCTGAGATACTGTACCATAGCGCGTTTTTTTTTTACTACCTGGCGGAAACGGGCTTCCATACCTTCCAGATGCTACAGCTTTCTCCCAATAACACACTAAGAGGTTAATTGGCTTCTGGGAAAACTGGCCCAGGTGTGAGTGTGTGTGCCCTGCGATGCCTTGAGCTCCTTGCTAGCCAGGTCACTCCCCAGTGACCCTGTATTGGATAAAATAGTTACAAAAAAGGACGGAAGGATTATTCTCATTTGAACAGAAATGTGGCCAATCTTGCATAACAGGGAGTTTATCAGAACAAAAGTTGGTACAATGATAATGGACACTCAGTCGTCTCTAACAGTTTGCTTTTTAATTGGCAATGCACTCCCTTGTTTCAAACCTCAAGGTGTTGCTTCCCTGTATCGTTGGAAAGTAATGTCATGAAGTGACAAAGATGGAACACATGCCTCTTGTGGGGTCGGAGGGGAGTGAGCACAGGAGATGTCTGTGTAGTAATCATGAGTAAATCTCCTTCACACACCTTCCAAAGATGGGATTCAGCTGCTTTGGGATGTAATTATCCCGATCCTTGATCTCGGTTTTCCCCAGCCTTAGTACAATGTAAGGGTCTGATTTGCCATCTGGGTCTGCTGGGTGGAGATTGAATGCCTGAAAAGGCCAACCAGACTCAGTATAAAAATAATTGAAATCTAAATTATGGAATAAAAATGTAATATGAGCTTTTACTTAAACCAAAGGACCCTGCACTTTGCATGATGCTTGTCTAATCAGCCTAGGTCAATTAAAAAAGCTGACACAACCATTTGCAAACCTTTTTTCTAATCTTAGGAAATAACTGGCTGACAGGTGAAAGGAAGGAGGAATAAACGTACTGCCACTATGTAGACACGGATCAGGACTTTCACAGGGTGATTAGGTGGGACGGCCTGGGTGATCTTGAACTGACCAGGGTCATGGTCGATCTCGTCGTCATCTTCATCGGTGAGCTTGTATAAACAAAACCGGCCCTGTACCATTGCAAAAATAAAAAGAGCATTGTGAGAAGCAACCAAGCTAACAAGTATTATATTACATGTGTTATAGATTATCAGGACAAGTATTATATACGATCATAAGATTGACTGTGAATCATTTTGTGACTGTGACTGCATCATTTCCCAACTATTTTCAGCTACTAAAGTTTTAGAAAGATGGGAACATTTTTTGGCATTCATTCTATGTAGAGTTTGAGAACAACAGCCCAAGAACAGAATGATCTGAACTGTGTGGATACAGTATAAATAGCTGATAATGTTTCCAAATTGAGTAGGTTGTACTATAGTTATAGCAAGGTCAAAACGTATGAAATAAGGGGTAGTTTAATTAACAGTATCTTTTGGTTTCTAATGGCAATGCAAGTGACACAAAACTGTCAGGGTAAGATGAAGATGTGATGGTGTGCTGTATGTTTAGTGTCTCATGTGCCACAGGAGAGCTCAGATACTGGCAGTGATGAAGAAGGTTTGCTGATCAGATCTGTACCAAGCTAGAGGATACAACCACAGATCCTTTGGCAGAAATCGGATTGAAGCACACAGGCGAGGAAACACACTGTACATGAATGTCTGCACATTGACCATGGTTTCCTTTAAACGTTCACAAGTCCAAATGCCACCAAAAGCCACAAATGTCGAGGGCACCAACCTTAAATTTTCCCACCACTCTCTCGTCGCTCGTGCCTTCATCCTCACTGGCTTTCCCGCGATACAGTTCGAAGGTGTTCACCCAGTCATCAAACGGCCCAAACTCAGCTTCCAGCTCTTTATCGTATATCTGGCGGAAATTGAATTCTGAGTAAAATGTTTGTCGCAATGTGAACTCATGACTGCCAGATCGTGCTTTTACTCTCACCTGTAAGGTGGCCAGTTTAGGTTGATCCTGCGCTCCTTTGAACTTGACAATTTTTTTCTTCTTGTCTCCATCTCTTGAGGCCAAAGCATACTGTTCAGACTGTCCGCTCACTACAAACATCAAAGGTCGATGTTATTCACTCTATGTATGCATGTAATCCTGAATATCTAAGGGGCATATTCTCAAGTGATGATTTTGATTCTCACAGGAAAACATAAGAAAGTAGTGACGTAGTGATCTCAAACAAGTTTTGATTTCATAGTAGTACTTGGTGGGTTGTTAACTCATTAAGAGATTTATTTAATTTGTACTGTATGCAGTAGCTTCTCCTTTCTCTATAATCAGCTGAGATTAAAACTAAAACAAAGCTAATTTTCTTCACTGCATACAAGGCGTCCCACCAAGGCTCTCTGTAAAGTGTAAAATATATTAATAGAAATAAAATAATCCAGCCCCTTTTCCTGTCATCTGGAATGCACAGAGTAGAAAAATATAGGTTATGCACTGTATATGGAACATTAAAAACAAGATAATTATGAAAAACATAGATGCTCACCATTTCAAACAAGGAAACATTTAACAATGATTTATTTAGAATTGATTGTTATTTGTGTAAAAAAAATAATCTTTTATTTTTTAATTTTGGTCCATGCAGTCCCTTTCAAAAATATTTACCCCTAATATTTAGTATTTGGGGGCAAAACAATATTTACTGCTTCCCAATGATACCCCATTTTAAAAAATAGTGCATACACATGTCAAAACTTGAAAGCTGAAACTGAACACTCACAGGTGGAATGGGTAAAAAGTTAAATGTATGCCAAAACTACAAAGAAAAATCAGAATCTAAACTTCTTGACTGCATACTGTAGGTATTCACCATCTTTGCTATGGAAAACCTAATTAGTTCAGGTACAAAAAATTGCTTTGACACAGCCGCATAATTAGCAGAGTGGCCTCAGTCTGTTTCTGATAAAAGTGGTTCAGATGATTTCAGAAAAAAAATACATGTCTCTGTAAGGTTCCCCTGTGAGTGAAGACAAGGGAAATCTGGTATAAATCTGTAAGAAATAAGAAACTCCCATCATTGGAAGGGAGTGATGAATTTAACTAGACAATGTACACAAGATTTTAAACCATTAATGTCTCTGAATACTGTCAGACCAACACTAACTTTTCTGAATATTTCTTCATAGACAAATTGTGTTTTTCTTTAAAATTAATGGTCTGTCCTGCATCACTGAGCTCTGAGGTTGGTTGCTAAGTAAAACAGAGATGTCTGGTAATTGGTTATCCCATATTTGTTTGACTTACTGGCTAATTAAGAGCTACTTTTCAGTTTGGACTGTTGTATGTGGCACGTTCTATAAACAAGGTCTTCTATAAGCACTATTCATTTCATGTTCAAAATTTGTGTTCTATTCACCCTGGCAAAGTTTTCTGTACATGTAAAGATGAGAGGCCTAAAATCTTTATATTCTTAAGGGAATATGTGTATATCCTTTACAGAATATGATGCTTTCTCTCAAGGTCAGTAATGACTGAAAACAAGAAATGACCGAGTTATGTAAGTGTGGAAAACACAAATATAACAGTCGACTGGCACAGACAGACGGTGAAAGACCAAACGATTCACCATTTAACAAATAAAGTGAGATTTGCTTAAAACAACGGGGGGCTGCTTCTCTCTTCATTCTTCGATTTAACATTCAACCCGTAATTTTTTTTTCAGGCATGCTGATGTTTCTGCTTAGAAACATCCCAGTCTGATTCCGAAATCACCTTGTGTCAGTACTCAAAGCAAACCATGTCAGAATGTTTAGAGCAGCAGAATGTGCCGTATAAACCATCGCAGACATACAGCACCCACTGTATTTCTGTACAAGAAGCCTCGTTGGACTCGTTAGAACCGGTAAGCAATTTCGGAAGAGGCTTGTATTGTTATGCTCGCAGTTCAGCGGCCGGCGGCCACGCCTTTCGCTCGGCCTTGATCACCGTGGAGACAGCGATGTGATTCAGAGCACCTGGCTATAGTCACAGCGGTAACTGTAGCAGGTGCTCTGAGGGTATTTAATATAGGCTATTCAGCCTCTCCTTGGCGATCCATCCGGAATTGACGTCTACATTTCACTTCTGATCCAGCGTTTCGGCTTCCCAGTGGAGCCCTTCTTGTTCCCGGTTTCCAGTTTCCTCGGGCTCCTCGGTTCATGTCATGTCATGTCATGTGCCAAACCGCTTTATACCATACTGTGTGGCGGGAAGCCGGAGCCTACCCGGCAAGCAACGTTCGCAAGGCAGGGTACACCCTGGATGGGACGCCAGTCCATCGCAGGACAAGTACAAGCCATTCATACATGGGGACAATTTGGAGGCCACGGTAAAGGCCGAGGGTGGAAATTTGGCCCGGACACCGGGATAACTCCCTACTCTTATGGAGAAATGCCCAGGGATCTTTAATGACCACTGAGAGACAGAACCTTGGTTTAATGTCTCATCCGAAAGATGGTGCCCACTGCAGTATAGTGTCCCCGCCACTATACCAGGGCATTAGGACCCATACAGTCCGCTGGGTGGCCGCCAGCCGCTGGTCCCACTAATACTAATACCAGCAGCAACCACAGCTTCCCAGGAGGTCTCCCATCCAGGTACTGACCAGGCTTAACCCTGCTGAGCTTCAGTGGGCTGCCAGTTAAGACCTGCAGGGTGATATAACTGCAGGCGGGCTTCGAGGTTCAGAAGTAAAATGCAAACGTCGATGCCGGATCGCCAACGAGAGGCTGAATAGGGTTCAAATCCACTCAGCGCCAGCCACTGAACTGCGACTGCTGTGGAGCGGAGGGGGTGAGTGTAACAAGTACTGTATATCCTACAAATAAAATGCCACACATTATGGAAAGTGATGCTCTCCACCAGTGAAAATCCTGAAGACAATGATCAAACAATTTAAGTAAAGAAGACATTGTACAGTTCGGATTCTTACTTCTGCCTAGAAGTTAATTTCTGCTGCAATAATTTATGTAGGAGTTTTCAAGGAATTACTCCAGATTTGTTCTACTTTCAGTTATTTCTGCTAAATATATGCAATACATGAACAACATGTTATGGTCATGAACTATAGAATGAAGGAGTTAACACAACTTCGTACAAAACATTTTTGGATAATATATTTAATGCCAGGCCTTCAGGAAAAAAAACAATGCAGAATTTTGGAAGGACTACAGTATATAGAGCGTTTATGAATGGTACATAAGTGTGCATGCTGTAATATTTCTGACATGTTGCCCAAGTGTATCTTTCCAAGAAATGATACAGCTTGACGGGAATCTTTTCCTATCAGAATACACCCCAGAGGACAGGAATCTGAAAGTGGGAAACCAGAGCTATTCCTTACCCAGAGAGTCTACTCCGTCCGAAAGCAAGCTGTGCAGTGGAGATACTGCAGTACAAACATTGTTGTGAGCCGGGACATGAAGAAAAACACGTCAATACAGCCTTGATCAGAGTCTGCCACTCAATCTATCATTAGAATAAGTGAACCTTTTATTATGTACAGTAGCTCTGCTTTTTAAAATCAGCTTGGCTTGCCTAACGTCTGTATTATACACAATCTCATCCTAAATTTCTTTAGTTAGGTGTAGCACATTAAAGGAGCCTGAAGGAGTATGTAATTAATTTACCAAGGAGCAAGACACTTGTATTCTTCATGTCAGAATGTGCACAGAGAAAATCAAGACCAGTAGCCTCTCACTGTATCTTCCACCTTTAACACGAGCACACAAGCCAATTTATAATGGCTTTATCAAGTGCTTCATGCTACTGTAGCATAGACGCAGCATGTTCTCAGGTAACACTCAAGCTACACATCTTCTTAAGAGACCATAGTAATTGTGAGTTATTGCAAACATAGGCTCACCTGACCAATGAGTTTCGACCCTATTCTTAATAATGAAAAATGAACCTTACTTACCATTGTCATATAAATTTAGCGTATCAGGTGCCTCCCTCTGTTTTGCCTTTTGAAAAAAAGACAAGCAACCAAATTAATTAAATCAAGCTCACCATAAACAGTGCAACTGAAGTAGACATTTTTGAAGACAATCCAAATGCATAGTACAGTAAGGTTTATCACATTTACTGGGTCAACCAGGTGAAGGTAACGTAAATATATATTTACGATTTTGTTCTAGTAAAAAGTAGCGTAGGAATGTATTAGAAAAACCCCATTTCTTTATATGCTTATAACCATACCATAAAAATGATCAAAATGGACAAATTAATTACTTTTATTTGAAGGGAAAATATCCTTATTTGCAACCAGGCTAAAATTACAATAGAAAGAGGTTCACATAGCTATCTATGGTAAATTGCATGGGACATTTAAATATTTAATGGAATTATCTTACAATGTTATGTACTTTAAGAATGCTGGAAACAAGTTTGAGTGTTTTGTGTTACGAAACTAATGGTTTCATTCTGGGGTTTTTCTTGGATCGCAATAACAATATCTCTGGCAGGTGACCCACCAGCAAGCTTTTCATTGCTCTTTTGCAGAATTCAGAATTCCTTTCCTCCTTCCTGCTTGCTGCAACTTACAATACCTACAAAATTCTCCCAGGGCTCCGCCTCCACACTGGACACGCCCCCCTCCCATATTGCCACAGCTGCCTCCCCCTGCTATAAGATCTGAAGGGCAGGGACTCAGAGTAGAGATCACAGCTCAAAGCCAAGCAATAGTGGACATTGTGCTCTACGGTGACCTTACTTGTTTAAGTTTCTCCACTGATGCGTAGTATTTGGACCACCAGTCGATGACGTTTTCAGCACTTTCGTCGGCCACGGTGCGTTTTCGCCTCTTTGTCGACCGTCTAGTCGTCTTTCGTCCGGCCTAAAGAATTGAGAAGGTGCTGATGGGATAACCATTAACTTGCTCCAAAATTCAAAATGGCACTTGATCAAAAAATGCGCTGCCCTTCCACGAACTGCGGATGAGCAATCTAGGAGTTCTTTCAATAACCTCAAAGCGCTATGCAGAAGCGCACCCACATCAGGAAAAAAAGGAGAAAAATGAAAAAAGCACGGGAAATTGACTTAATAGAAACAATGGTAAAGCCAAGCTATACTGAAAGGATACACCTTAAAGTTTAAAAAAATGTTTACAAAGTGTCTAAAGGATCTTGGGTTTTGGGAATCAAAAGCCTGGGTTGGAAAGCTACAACATGGAGTACATTGCCTATAGAAAGTTTATACACCCTTCAAAAGTAACACTTTTGTGGCTGAAATGAAGACACATAAAATCAGATTTTTTTTACTTTTATTGTCACATTGTAACACACAACCTCCAGGTAAAACAACAAATGCTCAGACATTCAGAAAAAAAGTAACTACAAATAAAATCCTGAATGAAAAGCATTTCTTTTTCACTTGGATTTCATTTTATCTGTGACTCTGTACTGGATAAAGCAACTAGAAAATGGATGGATGTTCATAGTAAAAGGACATAGTGTCCAGTACTTTACTATGCCTCCTTCCTCTTCTTTTTTTTGTGGGAACATCTCTCATAATAGTAAGCCACTAGTAAGTCACAAGTAACTGGCCAATGTACCTTTTTTGCTGGGTCCACCTCTTTCTCCTGAGACTTTTCAGGTTTTGGTGCTGATTCTGGTTCAATGTTGATATAGACGCCCTCTGATGGAGAAACTTCAATTGCACTGCTCTCGGCGACAGGCACAGCTTTGACAAATACAAATATTTATTGTCACCTTAGGTCTAGATTTAGCTCCAGACTAAATCAACACCTCAGCCCCTCTTCTAAGATGTAACCTGCAATTGTATAAGACTAGATCTTCTAGCTGCAACACATAGTAAGGCTGGACTGTTTACCAGAAAATCCATCCCTGGCTGACAAAATTCAACCATACCTTGGCCACACACAACTGGCTAGTCACATGGTCCCGGCCAGGACTAGCAACTTGAGGACCATGGGTATCAACCTGCTTTCTGAGCTTGGGCCTTTGCTTTTTTTGTCACTCAAGAGCTCAAATAATGTAATTCTAATATTAAATTCTTCAGTTAAGTGTTGAATAATTTGACCCTTACTTAATTTGAATTGTTTGTTTTTTCAAAATGTGATGAAGACTAGAAGAAATGTAGCAGCCAGACTAAAATTATTTATTTATTATTTTTTTTACCTTCTTGTGGCCTTTGTTCCTTCTTTAGGACTGCTGCTGGGGGCAGGCGTGGAGGTTTGTAGCTGAACTGTTTGAGACTGTTGATGACGTGGTTCCCTACCAGCGTACTCCGCCCGAACGCTCTCCAGTCTACCACGCTGATGCTGAGAGGAGGGTGCAGGAGCTCGTTTTCTGGAAGCTCCTGTTCATTGTGTGGAATAGCATTACCAGGTGGGTACAGACAAACATTTCTGAACAGCCTGTAATGAAAACTCAATCTTTCACTATGCTCTTAAGCTGTGACAGCGTTTATGGTTTCACTAAAAAGATAGTGACACGGAAAGGGTATTTAACACTCTACACTCAGTTAAAGCTTGTCCTGATGTCCTGGCCTGCCATGTAATTCTATAAAGGAGCCCACATATTGCAAGTTTGAATGCACGTTCTTCTTAAACCATCATTTCTGCCAATCAATTAACCTTCTTCTTCACAGTTTAAGAAGCAACAATGGAAGGTTATTGTGATTAATCTTGGAACAAACCATTTCTGGGTGCCAGAGAAGGAGGGCTTGAATGTTCCTTTTCCAGAAAGAACTCCCAGAGTTGCAGCTACTTGCATAAAGACACTAAATACACTATAGTCTTATTAATGCAGTGCAATTAAAAATAGATTAATCAATCAAGACAAACGCACCACGTCAAAAGCATCCACAAGCATTGTGAAGTTGGGGTTGCTCTTATAACTCTGAATGACTGAAGATCGGATTCCTTTCCCCGCACACTCGATAAAAACTTGAGGTCTGTCCACGGAGAGAAGCTGGACTTTCTTGAGTTCTCTCAAGCCCCAGAACAACACCTACATTGAAATCAAACATTACTCAAGATATTAGACTTCATTGTGCACTGTTCTCAGTCACTTCTCAGTTAGCTTTAAAACGGCTAGGAAACTGTTCTTTCTACACCACGATAAGAGTTTGATCTGAATTAAATCGGGAGTTTCCATGATTTCAAAAGACAGAAAAGTTATGAAAAGTGCCCTAATGGACTGGATCTTCAGATACAGTTTTTGAAAATGTCAGGAATTGTCCTGCCTGCAAAGATGGTAGTTAATCAACTGAACAAGATTTCATCAGTCCAACATCTCCGCTGCCAAAGAACCACAGTGTTTGACACAGATCAACTGCATTGACTCCAGAAAACTGTGGCATGGATCCAGCTTTTCGCAGGATTTAAAAAAAGTGTGTGTTTTAAAGAATATGAAATGCACAATGCTCATTCTGAAATGATACCTGATATCTGCAGGTGGCTTACCTCCAGTCTATACCTGCTCAACACTGGGCGGATATTTGCAGGGACTGGATATATATTTCCATCTGGCGCATCAATGGGAGGAACGGTTTCCTCACCAGATTCTGGGATCTGCATGGAAAGAAATTCTAGTTCTTGCGGTTACGGTGTCAACTTATTCAAGAGCCCTGCTTAGGTGTACAACATTCTTTCGTGGAACACACTGAACTATTAAATTGCAGTGAATGGGCTATTATCCTGCTTCACTCATATCTGTTATTTAGATTCATTTTCATCACCAACTGCAAATGTGCATATAATTATTTATCAGATTTAATAGTTTAAATGACATTTTGAGGGAGTCAACCATATAATGACGCATTAGACATGATTCCAATTATGATGGATGGATGTTTGCCCATTATGCCTTCCTGTAACATGAGTTTTTTTACGGAACAGGGTTGTTAGCCTTGTGCCCAACCTCCAACATGGAGGACCTGGCGCCCGATGTGGGACATGAACCTACTACCCTGAGATTAGGTTCCAATTATGGTGAATACAAACTTTATTCCAAAAAATTAAACAAATGAAGAAGAAAAAAATCAGCTAAGTGAGAGATTACTGCGTTTACTGGCAATTTCGGCGTATCGTTCTCGTATTGGAGAAAGGGTGGAAATTAACCAGGAAAACATCTGAGGACTGAACTGAAACAACTGTCATGATCGTAAACCCTCCTCTTAAGGGCGCTCTGGCTCTTTCACTTTGAAGTTGATTATGTGCAGCTGCCTTCTATCCAGCCCCTCTTTATTTAAGCCAGACGCTCTCACTATTCTGGGCTCAGCACTGGAAGATGGACACCCAGAGGCCCGCCTACCAGCGGGTCCAGGAGAGACCCGACAGCATCGGCTTCACCCTGGCATCCTTACCATCTGGGTCCGGGGCTCGGAGCGCCTGGCCTCATCATCGGGTTTTTATTCCCCATCCCTGCACCAGATCCCGCTCTGGTTTTTAAACCTTGTCTTGTCTTTGTTTTGGATGGATCACCCGGCTTTGGATTTTGGACTTCACCATGGATTACCCTCTGGACTCCTCTGGACTTGTTCACCCTGGCCACGCACCCCGGAGCACCAGTGCACAGTCGTCACGCCCCCCTGTTCGTCAACCTGCCCAGTTCCTCATCATCTCCTCCCCTTGTCAGTTTCCACTTACTTCCGGATTTTACCATCTGCATAGGGTACCGACCAATGCATCGTTCCAGGTTTCCCAGGGCTAAACTGACGTCTTGAACTGAAGGTTCCTCCTCACCTGAATTAGCTCAAAGGCTGCGAGCAGATCCCCTCCTGACTGACTGCCGCAGAACAGAGGGCAGTACTGGAGCTGTGGAGGGATGTAATTCTCTCCCGCGAGCTTAACACCAGGCACTGCCACCGTGGAGCCCAAGTACTCTGCCTTGCTCTGCAGATAGAGAGGTGTGAACAGCAAACAATAAGCCATCTGCTTCTCTTTTTCTAACCCAGGAAGTGACCTTCAGCTCCCTCTCACCTCCAGACGTACACTATACATTCAAACACGCTCTTTTGTTTGAAACTCTCCCGTACCATACGGTCTGTACGTGCCATTGAAACATTTGGTTTTGTACCCCAGGCCAGAGTGGGAAATCATTCTCTGCATCAGAGTTAAAAATCCTTCTCTGCTATGTGCGCCATTGAGGAAAATTAAAATGCACAGAAAATTTAGCAGCCGGTTTAAGAACCTGGCATATTCAGCATATACGTAGTACTTTTAGAAGGGGAATTGTAACCAAATAGTTTAACCTCAGAATATGTTGGAAATTGCAATTTAAAGTTTGATGTGTACAGAAAGGCACGGCCTCTTGCTCAATTCCCACGCAATGATTTCAATACAACGCAGGTGATCACGGATAAATGTCACGATTGTAGTCCCTCCCCCTTAAGGGCGCTCCAGCTCTTCCTTGTTTGCCTCATTTCCCGCACTTGTTCCTTGTTCCAACCTCCTTCCTGTCCCACTTAAAAGCCAGGCGCTGACGTTAATCCGGGCTCTGCATCTGATCTCAGTATCATGCGAATCCGGGACCTGGAAGCGCCTGGTCCCGTTAAGGTTTTATTCTCTGTTCCCGTTCCCCTTCCGCCAGTTCCGACCCGGTTCCAGTTTTTATCTTGTTTGTTCTCGGATGGACTTCCCGGCTTTGGACTTTGCTTGTGTTTGGATTTCCTATTTGGATTACTACTGGATTGTTTGCCCCGGACTCACCCCCCCTGAACACCAGTGCACCAAGGACACGCCCCCTGCTTTGATGCATGACTTTTCTCCCCAGTGTTTCCTCACTACCCCAGATTGTGTCGTCCGCATAGGGTCTGGAAAGAACTTTTGTTACAATAAATACGCAATTCTATCACCAGTTCTTTCAGTGAATATCGCTTCTGTAGCGCTTTGGAAATGAACAGCCTAAGTTGTGGTGACCAGAGATGTTAAATCATTTGAGCTCACCAAGGCATCGTCGTCGTACAGCTCTATGACCACAATGGGAGGGTCCTCAGTGATATCTTTCAACTCTCCGTGAAGAGCGATGTTGTTAAAAAGCAACATCTGGTTCCAGGTAGGAGTCAACGTCTGATTGATAATCTGTAACGACAAAGAGGTAGGAGGAAGCTGTCTTTAGGAAACATTTTTACTGATGGTAAATCTTTTTAGTTAGCGTTTTAGTGATGTTTTTACACATGATCTAAAACTGTGTTTACCTGCACATAGAAAATGGTTACATCCATTTCATTACATGATGTTCTTCTCAATATGACTACATACATACAGTATGTAGATAATTGCAAAGTTTTACATTTTTAGTTAGTTAAGTGTATAATCTTCAGGCATTACAATACCCTGCTACCTCAAAAGTTTTGACGTGTACAGTACAGTATGTGTAACCCAACAAAAATCCAATATATACAGTGTACAAAACCAAAGTCTTCATTGTGTAGTTTTATAATTTACTCAAATATCCAAAACATTCAATGTAGCAGAAATAAGACAACAATGGGCAAAGGGTTCGGAACTTTTTTTAGAATTCTGTTGTTGAACATCTTCTTACACAGGACAACAGATCACTAACGTCAGTGCTGTATTTAAATATATTAATATATTAATCTATGAGTATACTGAGAAGTTGCAGATAGGGTGGAATTTCAAGTAAAATGGATAAAACCACAGGCTAGACATACCTAAGAATGTTAGACTGTGATCAAAGTAAAGTAAAAATATCTTACATACAGAACACTGATACTGTACACTGATATTTATGACAAGTACTGTACAGTACATATCTCTTATTTATGAAGGCTGCTTGTTTTAGGATGACATGAGTCTGTACACTGAATTGTACACTGCTGTGTCCTTTCCCTGATGTAGGTCTTTAAACCAGAAGATTACCATTGTCGTTTGACTCTGAGACACAAAGGACACTTTTGCAAAAGGATCAGACAATCCTGTACTGTCTGCAGCAATCAACCCTCTGGCCTGATACATATGCGCTCTGAGCTGGAATATGTTCTGAGCTGTGAAGTACAAAAAAAAGAAACAGAAAATTAAAATTACATGCTGTGCCCTCAAGAGTTCCACATTGCTGCTTTCATTGCATGGCTGAATTGAGACAATAAGAATTCTAGAGTGATGAGCAAAACCAGTTTTTATTTAATAAAACTGAAATAGAGCATAGGTCAGAAAAGGTAAATCACCTATAACCTATACAACCTATAACCAGAAGAACAAAATACAAATATGAGCAGGTGTTCATTGTGAGTCTGTTGTAAGCCTTTGTGCCTTAAAAAGGAAGTCATCCACGAACATCAGTAAACTGTCCTGACACCTGACCACAGCCCTGAACATGCAGGCGATACAGAAACTATGCATAATCCCCCCCACAAAATACATGTTCCAACATCGAGATGATATTGAAACAAAATCATAGGCTGGGGCGAAAGCAAATGCCAATGTTTGATTTTGCTGTAAGAGCACAGAGATAGAAACAGCAAAGGACAAGTCTCACAAGAAGAGGAAGAATGGATCACTGTTGATCCAAGGAAACTCAGCTAGATGAGTGAAAAACAGCTAGATGGGATGAGTAGGTTCTGTCAGCCAGTGGCAGATATCAACTGAAAATGAAGTAAAGTTTTGTATAAACATACTTTTATAAACCAGGAAGTCGGGCAAGGGCATGGTGATGTGTTCGGAACTCGCAGTGAGACCTTCGGGTTCATATCCCTCTGGTAGGTTTTCCAGCATGACATGGGAATCCTTACAGCGTCCCAGCCACAGGAAAACATCTAACTTGGCCTGAACTGTCCAGCCAGTTACTCGTTTCCCTGGCATCTGGAAAAGAAAATACAAAGCACTTGTATAGGTCTTGTATTAAGACCTATGGACACAGATATTCACAGGACCAGATTAGGTGGAACACAAAAGACCAATTAAAAATTCAATACACAAAAGAGAAGCATCAGTAAGGCGTCTGACACACCATACTCAGTTGCTAGTAATTTAAAGATTCAGAAACCTATTGGTGAATATTCGCATTGACTTGGCAGTTTCTTCTGTATAACCACAACCTTTTACATAAAAGACAGCCTCTTCTTTTTTATTAAATGTAGTTGCAAGCCATGACTTTTTAAAACTTCCAGTTATTTGTACAAGTCTGGGATGAGAGATTTGTACATCTTGGTCAAATCTACCTCAAGTTTGTTAAAAACAAAGCCAACACCCATTTGAGTTGTGAAGACACAACTCCAAGAATCTTTAAATGACAATAATAATGTTTCAGCTACTGTACCTCAGTAGATTTAAGAGCCCGCATTCTTGTGTGCATTTTCTCATGATATGGTTTATAAATTTAAGTTTGTGGGGGTCACTCAAAAGCACTTCAGAATGGCTTACAGCACTAGACTGATTATATCACTCGCTCCAAACTCATTCTCCACTGGCAACAGAGGGTTCATTGAAATGTCAGTGTTTTAGATCAAATTTATTCTAATTAATGCTTCAAAGTAGAATTTGGTAGACTCAAATTTTGTCTTATTTCAACCTTGGAATTTCTGAGAGAAACACTGTGATTAAACTGAAATGGCAGGAGCTTAGAGGAGACAGCAGAGGAACCAGAGTTTGTTTGGCTCTGAGGATAGGCCTGGACACGAAGGGATTTACTTTGAGAAAAAGGGTTTTGATTTTTCCACAGTCCTTCCCCCTTTCGTTGTCGGACTCAGAGTAGACGAGGTCTCTGGCAGGGATACGAGCATAGGCCACTCTCTTGTTGTTGCTTAGCATCCAGACGAAAATGTCAGGGATCGTGTGCTGAGGCTGCAATGGGAGACACAAAAGCAGAAAAGATTGAAAGAACTGACATTCAAGAATAATGATATACCAGCGATATTGATATACCAGCGACATAAAACTGTACTTAGGGTCACATGCAAAAACCTTTCCTCATCAGCAGTGTGATGTCTTCCATGAGAGACTCAAATAAATGGACATTGCCTTCTGTGTTAATAAATGTTCTTGGAATATACAACTCCAGACATAACAAATGTAAAGAATCAAGAAATATAATTAATAATTCAATTCTTTTTTCTTAGGCTAATTCCAGCTCTTAGCTTGAAACCAGGAAATATGTACTGTACCTCTTCCACAAGAAACGTAAGTCTTTGTGTGAATTTCTGTGCTTCTTGAATCATCTCTTTCAAAGTCAATCTTTTCCTTTTCTGCTCAGAGATGGACTGCACATCATTTGTCATACTTTCCTAAAACCAGACAGACATTTCAGCCATTTCAATAAGGCAACCAAGGCATTGACAGACTTATAGTTGGACAAAAAGCAAACTGACAGGGAAAGAGATGCTTAATGGTTTTATACCTGTAATGTAAGAATCTAATTTCTTACATTTCAGTTTCTTCATTTGTTCACAAATTTAAATGTTTGCTTTTCACCTAATCCATGTACTGGATGAGCACTGTTTTGAATTATTTATACACAGCACACACTGATGGTTAAAATAACAGGGCCACCTGGAAAACGTTTTTAAACATGACAAAGGAAAAAATAATGATTAACTATTAATCTGTATGACGATCTATCTACTGCCTCCACTGGTGTATGCAAATATGACTATATTCAAATATCTCACAATATCTGTTGGTAAACATTGCCCTAGCATAACACAATGCTCAGATGTACTATGGAGTGAATGGAGGTGTAGAATACATTACCTCCACCACATGAGTGCTGAGAACACAGTGGTAAAATGTCATATACAGTAGAAATGATAAAAATATGTAGTTTTTGTGAGGGGGCAGCCTCATTGGTAAAAAAGCCCTCATTTGTAAAGTAAGATGATTACTCTTTACTTCAGTGAAACTACAAAAACATAAGACAGGTTACAACAAAGAGGAAGCCATTAGGCCCATCTAGCCCATTTAGTTTTTAGTAGCAAATTGAACCAAGTCTTTCCTCTGGCTGTTTCTTGAGTAGCGGCTCAATAATATAGCTGGGAGGCTTGTTTCACTCCCACAATGCTTTGGGTAAAGAGGTTTCCCCAGTTCTTGGTTTTAAGTGCCATCAGATCAACATTTAAAACAGTAATTCCAAGAACTAATTAACTGGCAGCTTATTGCTCTTTAATTATGGAGTGTATATAATCTTCCATCCATCCATTTTCTGTTCAGAGGTGCAGATGACCCAGAGCCTATCCCAGCAAGCAATGAGCACTAATCAGGGCAGACCCTTGATGAGAAGCCAGGCCAGTCCATCACAGGACAGACAGCCACAAACACAGGTCAGTTTTCCCATGTACTTAATTAATCTACCAGTTTTTGATGGGAGGAAACCAGAGAGCACAATTCATGCAGATACTGTAGCAGCCCAGGTCTGGTCTTGAACCCAGGTGAGGCCTGGAATTGAACCCAGTGTCCCAGCACTGTGAGACAGTAATGCTACCACTACACCACTGTATCAGCCATGTTCTATATGCAATCTTTTTCTACCTATTTCAATTTAATCTTGCTCCAGGTCCTATATTTTGTGTATTATACTAAAATGAGTTTGTTGCTGTTGCTTTCATTTCTACTTCTTATTCTAGAAAACCCTTACAGCAAGACCTGCTGATTCAAATGTTTGGCACTGTGGCACTTCTGCGACCTGTGGACAGGTCTGACACTGTGTGTTACAGTTGGAGATTATTGCATGCTTACTGAATCATAAACTTGTGGTGGATGAATGATTGTGGATTAGTGATGTGCATGAATGTTAGCTTAATTTTTGGTAAAACGCAAACCTGACTTATTCTGCGTGTTACCTCAGCTGCACTGCAACACATGGCAGAATGAAGTTATTATTATCTGAAAACAGCCACGACAACACTTGAAATACACAATAGTTCATTCATCATACCAACTCCTGTTTACACAGCGTTAGCCTCTTCTTGTCCAGCATGGTTAAGTTGTTTGTTTTTGTTTTCTTCTCAGCAAAAGCAATGAAGTTTCTATTGGGAAACCATAAGGCATTTTAATAAAACTACATTTTCACAAACAATGGGGAATAAGAAAAAAAAAATCCTTTTACTGGATTACTACTTTGTAAAAACAGCTAAGTAACATTCAAATTTTATAACACATTTCTATGACCAATGTGAAAAAGCAAGCTTTTTGAAAATGATACAATACAAACATAACAGGCAGTGCAAAAGGCTTGCTCTATTTTCAAGGTGGAAATTAAACAGTAAGTTCAAATTCTGAGGAATGTAGTGTGGTGTGTATACAGTACTGTATTATTTACAGTGTAGAGTTTTAACTGGGGTTGGCCTGTGGGCTGTGGCCTTGAATCCACAATGTGTGGTACTGTTGTTGTAACTTTTAACAAAGTACCTCACTCAAATTCCTTCTAACTGCAAATAACTTTTGAATAAAATCATCAACCAAATAACTTAGCTATACATTAGTTACAGTATCTGGAAACTTGGGTTGAGGGCATAAGGTGACATATCATGTTCTGGACTCAGGCTTCTTCATCCATTCATTTTTTAACCACTTTATATGGTAATGTAATCATGCCTATCACAGCAAGCAACAGGCACAATGCAGGATACACCCTGGATAGGACACCAGTCCATGACAGGGCTCATATAGACATACGAAACTACATCCACACTTACACCAGGACCAGGCCTTTGGACTATGAGAGAAACCAACACAAACATGAGGAGAACATACAGACTCCACATAGATCACACCCAGCTAACCACTGTGCCATCATGACACCCTGGATTCAGGTTCCAGCAGGACAAAAATAAATGTTGGACATAAACCAGAAAATAATGTGAAAAATAAACAACGTACCTGCTGCGACTGACAAATTCTTGAAGGACACTTAGCATTTGTTCATCTGCTTTAGGATCGGACAGCCTGTTCATTTCTTTCACCTCTTCTATGCCTTCTTCCTAATATAAAACAAGAACATTCCATTTCTGGGTAATGCTGTGACCATTAACCATGTACAGTACACCAGTGGGAAATAAAATGAATTATAATTTTAATCAAGAGAACTTACAAAAGCAACAGCAATATTCTCCAGCACGTTTGAGTAGTACAGACGAAATGTCTGATCCTCCCATTCACTGACAATATGTACACAGGGCTTCTTATTTAAGTGTGGCAGAAAGAAGTACTGTCTGTTGAAGGAAAACAGTGTTTATTGAGGCAGAATATCTTCTAATACATATATTTTCACATATGAATCTGCTCTCAGGATATTGGCCCTAGCAATTACATAGGTCACATTTCCTTATTTTTAATAGCTGATATCTACTCCAGGCCTAGAAGAGATCTGCAGGAAAAACATAGCTTTGAAACCTGTTTCCCTCCATCAGCTGTGGCCTCTCTGGTACGGTTGTAGATTTGCAGGGTAGGGCTTCCAGATGTCGCTCAGGCTCTCTGGATGACAGGAGAGGAGATTTTTCTGGGTCTCCATGCTCCACAGCTTTCTTTCTCCCTGCGTGGATTGGAGAGGCTCCGTCGATGAAGTTTCCATAATTTCCTGGACAAAGAAAAGAAGCTTACTACCAACGTGGTATGAACATAACATCCAATCAGAAACAATTTAACAACACCCGAGTCATATTTAATTAATTTTGAATTGGAAATTATGATTCTTTTGGTGCCATGAGTTGACAAGAGGAAATTGATATATTAATTCTCTGCATTTGATGTGTAAAATAGCCTTTCAATGTGCAATATTTCATAAAACATGAGAGGTATTTAGAAAAAGACACCCACTGTATAAAAGAAAATACTCAATTTAGCATATGTAATCGTGTTTTCAGTCTCTCCTGGGCTGTTTTGTCGTTCAAAATTAGTATTATTCATGGAAAAAGATTCTGAAAACTGGAACAAATCTAACAAAAAACGATTTCTGGCATTGCTTTCAAGAATGAAATCTGAACACAAATTTAAAACAGTCAAACAGTAAACATTTATTTAGACATTTGACATTTTAGGTTAGGAAAGAAACTTAGTTGTTCACAAATATGTTGAAATGTTTTAAAAAAATGTTTTTTATGTCTGCCACAAGTTAAAAAAGGAAAAATCTTTACCAACTGTAAACTCAAAGCTGATAGGCTTGTCCCCAATCTTCCTATCAATCATTGAAGCCTCAAATACAGACCCAAAGAGCAGGTAGCTTTCCATACTGTCTTTGTCAATCTGTGAAAGACATTATGTTAAATAAATAACATGAGTAAAGTACAATTACTGTTGCACTGCATAATGGCATGTCAGAAATACCAGCCATGATATTGAATTCCAAATCTGAAATTTGTCTTTTTGCCCTGTGAAGGTCACAAAAATGAAAAAGTAGAGCAAAATCAGTGCTTTGTCATTGAATTTCCCACTGCATTTAATGCTTGTTAGAGGAGAAGAATTATCCCTGGTGTCCTGGCTACATTTCAATTTGGAATTTCTATAGTCTGCCCCCCCCTACATTTCTGACCTCACTGCACCTGATCTGTTGTATAGTGGAGCAGCTGGTGCAAAATGACTGCTGCAAATGACACAGTGGTTGGTGGATGAAGTGGGTCATCTTATCATGAGATGTGTTTTGGGACAGGATCCAATAGGATGAAACTCACCATACACATTCAGTCAATGAAAAGTAGGAGTGAGGGTGACATTATGCATTGAAATCAAGCACTCCTACACGATTGGGTGGTTAATAAAGAGAGGAATGGATAGACGTGCAGAGATTCTAAATCAGGCTAAATGGCTTGAGGTACAGTATGTTTTGCATGCAGTCTTAATGTAGTCAGCAAAACTGGGCTTCCTGGGTCACAGATTTAAGGGAAAGCTGAAGTGGAAACAGCTGATGTGTTTGAAAGTCTGATACTGATGCTCTTGACAATATCTGTAATCAGACTTCATATAAATCATCTGGCGCTGCTGCTTTAAGGTGCTATATAAAAGGGTGGGATGAATTTATTCACTACAAATTATTCAGAGCATGATACTGGAAGATGGCCAAAAGTCTTATTAATATATTTACATCTTTCCACTTATCCCTCGTAATGAAGCAAAGAGACGTCAGAAGCTATATAATAGTGATAAAACATGTTTAAGTGCAGCAATTCAAACTATATTGTATTTACAGTATAAAAACACATTTCAGTTCATGAAGTGTGAGACTGACACTCCCCTAAAACAATATTACTTCCATTACATTACATTTTAGCTTCCTGTAAGATTTTAGGTTTTATACCAATCTTGCGAAACATACATAGTTTTTTACAGCATGAATGATTTCTACTGACCCATGTGCATTTACCCTTACCATTTGTTTGTTGCTTCAACAGATAAGGGAACAAATTAATATTTGTATCGATTTGATCTACATTTTGGAACCGTTTTCCAGAGGGCAGACATTGATAATCAGGATTAAGAATTTGAAAAGGGTCTGCTATATTTTGTTTCCACCTGTCTAATCATGGATAGTTCAAAGATTGTCTACAAGGAGGAGAGCTGCTTCACCCCCATAACCTTCACTGCTGTTTGGACAAGACAGGTGATAGTCATGTTATCGATGGCACATACTCGGACAGCCCCGCCTACAACTAACATTCACGAGGAGTAACAACACCCAAGAATTCCGTGAACTGAAAGGATTATAGGGTGTTGAGTGAAAATTTGGCTGAACCCACTTGGCTGAAGGCCGACCTCCCGGCCAGACGACGAGGAGGTTGGGACCCCCACGCAGAGTGGGGGGTGACCAAGGGGCAGCTGCAGAGGTGGAGATGGGGTGGAGGTGGGCCAGAGATGGTATGCAAGGGAGAGAAGGGGATCACGTACAGTATTTATAGTGTTTAAGGAGAGGAAATGACATCAGGAGTGATTGCTATTTATTGACAGCTGTGTCTGATTGAACTTGGTTGTTGTCATCCCTCCAGAACTTTCGTTACAAACTCCATTCAGAGTCCTCTAAGAATCCAGATGGAAGCTCTGGCTCTGCTGACGTTCAATTGATGCCAATAGTTCACAAACTTGAAACTCACCTCAGCGGGCGATTCCACTGGAGTCACCTCCGCCCCCAGGGCTGTGCTCTTCTCTGTCGCCGCTTTCGTCTCCTCAGCCGTGGGCGGCGTTTTCTGCTCTTTCCCAGCTGCTTTCGGCGTTTTCGCCGCGAGCTTGAGGTCTTTGGCTATTTTGGACAGCTTGGACTCTGAGGCCGCGCCCGACAGGATCTCCACCGCCAGCTCTATGAACAGACGGCCCCTGAAGGACACCCCTTCTCCCACACCCTCGTTCAGCTCCTGAAAGTCGTCCATGAGGGTGAAGTTGCGGGCGGAGCCGTAAAGATTGATCCACGCGGGGCCAAACGTGGGTAGAAATCCTACAGTCAATGACAAACGGGAAAGCTCCTTCTCTATACTCTATACTCAATGTCTGCTTGGGAAAACACATTTACCCCAAGAAGAACATGACAAGGAAGATGTTGACATTTATCGGTAATTGTTGAGGTTTCTTATTACTGGCTTTACTAATAGTCCTTCATTCACAGATCAGGTTGGGCCATTCAATACAATGGGGCTAAGACACTAGGAAACTGTGTCTGAGATTTCTGAAGGAAGGGCATACAATTGGCTGCATACCATCGGGGCTGAGTGTGTTCAAAGTGATATCCGTGGTTTGCTGATCACTTGTGAGCATGCATTGTTAACACAGGGCACTTCATCAATACTCTAGCCAGTTCTTTAGCTCTGTAATTCTGAGTTCACTGTTGCCTTAAAGTATGAAAATAATGTCTTACAGTGCAAGTAGGATGTGCATACATCCAATTAGAGTTGGGCTAGTGTTTTACAACTGAATATACGGCTTTTCCCTATTATTAATTTATATGGCTGGTGCCTTTATCTCTAACAGTAGAAATGTATCCCCATTTACACAGTAAGCATTGTTGTTGGAGCAATGTAAAATTAAATAGTTTGCCTAAGGGTACACAGCAGAGTCACACTCGGGATTTGGGTTCACCACCTTCTGGTTATACATTCAGAGTCCTATCCTCTCCTCCACGTTGCAGTACTTAAGATTTTGTTTTCAATATGCTGGGAAATATGCTTGCAACTAGTTTCCTCACAACTTGTTTCGTAGCAACAAGTACGCACCTACTGTATCTATAAAATTATTGTATTATAAAACACAAATGAAGATACAAATGTTGATATTCAAGAGAAAGGAAATTCTATTTTTTTTCTATGTTAAAGCAAAATGCAACAATACAGTTGCAATTCCAACCTGATAAGCAATGTACTGTAGATAACACTAAAGCATAGAATAAATCTGGGCTTTGTGAAAAAATGGGGCTTCCAAAGTAGATTTAGTGATGAAATTCACTGAACGGTGAATGAAATACAATCTAGTGATATTTTTATTTATAAGGTAAACCAGAGGAAGGAACGAGTAGACTGTTACCTTTGTCCCCATCTTGCTCGTTTGATATTTTCTTTAGATCAATATAGTGGGTTCCCACAGCCACATCGTTCATACTGCCCTCATCCCAGACCTGAATCTTGAGCCTCCTGCACAGAGGAGGAAACATCTCCTTGAAGACAATCTGCTCGTTCCACACGGGATCGGCAGAACTCTTCTGAGTGGACGTTCGGCCCTTTAAATACAGGGAAAAATAATGATCGCGTGCAATAATCCCATGAGCCTTTGAGAAAGGCCTTCTTCAATTTTAATCTAGCAAGTCAAGTCGATTTTCCTCGTCTTAAAAAATAAATCAGTTCTAAAACACAAAGCTCTTCACTCATACTATGAACTTTGGGGCTAAATTATAAAAACAATGCCACCAGAGAAATGCAGGATCGAGATTTCTTAGGTCCCCATGTGTATATGGCTACAGGTATCTCAGACACTAGCTCTCATACTTTCAGTTACATAAAATCTGCCTAAAATGTGATGATGTACAGTAGTTAATTCCCTTTCATTCTAAAAAAAACACATACTGGAAACAACAGTGCTATAAAAGAGTTAAAGGGTTCAAAAAAGAATTCCTTTTTGGTAGTCTTTGGATTAAATCAGATGGTGGTAAATTCAAAACGATCAAACAGCCCCTCCATCTCAATAGCTCTCCGCGTCAATGTCAAAACAACCAGAAAAAAAACTGAAGGCTCAGATCGCAAAATCCAGAATTGTGCAGTCCAAACGAGGTGGAAAGCCCTCCTGAAAGCCCATTACTGTCAGGATTTCTGAAAGGGCTGAGATTTTTTGCCCCTGTGCGAAGTTAATTAGGATAATTAGTTCCTGGATGAGCGTGTGTGGAATTTAGTACACGTTGGAATGCCAGGACGCTTACGGGAGAAGGCGTTTACGAGTCGTGACAATTACCATTTGGTTAAAAAACGTAACCACCACGTAGGGATCGATGAGGTCCTTATTTTCTCCGATGAAAGCCTTGGTCACGTTAGCCATGATGCTGGAATTCATTCTGGGAAGGCCTTCTGCCCTGTAGACTTTCACATAGAACCTGGCCCAGGGCCTCTCAGAGGGGAAGCCTTTAGGAACCAACAGGTTCCTGGGAACGGAGAAAGTAAAGCTTTATTACCTGTGGCGTTTGCTTCTACGTCAATGAGACCAAGTAGAACTGTGGGTATATATAGGAAGTTAAAGCACATACCTATAAGTACAGAGGCGGGTTGAGGACTAGGCTACCACAACATAAAACATGGGTTAACGGGACAACTTTTTTTTAAATGAAGGTGCTCCCATTTGGAATGCAAATAAGGGAGCAGGTACTTACTTTTCGATCTGCTCTTCTGCGTCACTGGCTTTCTGCATGGGCTGCACTGTCTCTCCTTTCCCCGTCACACTAATATCACACTTCAGGTATCCTTTCACCCCTGTCTGGATGTCCACAGGGTCGGTGAGCATGGCCCACTTGTTGGAGAACTGATGACCTGAGGAATTGAGCGAATGAAGTGGAGTGGAGTGTCCAGAAAAGCTCTATATAAGTGTAAGCAATTAATATTATTATTACCATAGTTGTTAGTCCTTCAGGCTAACCGTGAAGACATGTACAGCCTTTGTGAGCTTCTTAGAGGAAGTACTGTCAGTGTTGTCTTCATCTGAATGAGGAGGGTTATCAAACTTCCAGAATAAGAAAACTAGAACACTCCTGTACTTGGGAGTGTAATGTGTACTACAGCGAAACTGTGGTCCAGGAGGTGTGTGTCAGTGTCCCAACTACTTTAAACACATTCTGTTGAAGGCCTCAACATTTTTTAAATTCCATCTCTGTCTACATTTCAGCCTTCCACCCTAGACATTCAGAAACCAAGACAAATGTATACTGGACCATTGATTCGTACCACATTTGATAAGGCAATATCTTACCTGGTTGGCTATAAACAGTTCCTACATCCAGTTTGAAAGATCCAATAGTGAAGCTTCGCATAATTTTGGAATGCATAACCTTGGTGAGGAACAAAATTATAATTATATTCTCAGCTGTTTTAGTTCTAGCAATAAGACATGCAATACAGTTCCTGTTATTTAATTCAATATAAAATACTGATTTTTTCCTCTCTGTTAATAAGCCCTCACTAATTTTAATCCTGTCTAATGCCATCACTCTATTTCTATAATCTCACTCTTTCTTAAATCCATGGAGTTCCCCTTTTATGTCATTTCAGTTCACTTCACAGTGCTGAGAAAATGATTTGCGAACTCCCCAGGCAAAAACCAAACACTGCCTTCCAAGAGAAGGACATCATCCTGTAGCTCAAGCATGATGGTGGGAGTTTCATGGTTTGGGGCTGCTTTGCTGCCACAGGACCTGGATGACTTGTCATCATTGACAGAACCAAGAATTTGGTGTTGTATCTGCAAATCCTGGAGTAGAATCCATTCATTCATGGGAGCAGAAACTGGGTCATGCATCAAGACAATGATCCTAAACATACTGTACAAGCAGATCTACAACAGAATGGAAGACAATTTGGGGGGTTTGGATTAGGTTAGTCAAAGTTTGGACCCAAGCCCCATTGAATTGAGACAGCAAGACCTGAAGCAAGCCATTCATTAAATAAAACCTTACAAGTCACAGCCTCTAAAGGGTTCTGTAGGGAAGAATCAGCCAAAATCCATAAAAGCAGAAGCCAGAGTCATTGCTGCTTAAAGAGGTTCCCCCTGTTACTGAATCATACTTATTCACATGAGGATATTTACTGTTCGATCACTTTGTTAATTAAATCCGAAATATATTTTGTCTTTGTGTTATACTGTTAATCAGGTCATCTTGTTCTTTTCTTATGACTTATATTAAAATCTAATTATATTATAGAACTAAAACATAAATAAATTCAGAAAAGCCTTGAGATTTTTATCAGCAGTGTAGAAGATTTATTCCTGTAAATTCAGGCTCTTTGTACTCAATGTGAAAAAAAGCCTGATTTTTAATTCAGTAATAGCACCTGTTTAACGTTGTACTTACTGAGAGCTTGACGACTTTGTCGAAAAATGTTTCTTGAGGGCCAAAGAAGTCAAACACGAAATACTGTTAAATAAAATTGTTATACAAAGGGATGGTTAAGTGACCAGTTAAATATGAAATGAGTTAGTTGCTTGTGGTAACTTTTATGTTTTCTAAGTATTTCACTCGACTAAAAGCACTGATGATTGAGATTTTAATTTTACAGGAGAAATTGTCGACGATTTCTACTGCATGTATTAAATATTGTGGAAAAAAACACACATCACTTGTTTAACAAAAGGGAAAAAGAGAACAATTACGATATTACATTGACAAACTCTAAAAAGCAGTTTTTAAAACTAACATTTATTGCAGTACTAAATTGTACTTTAATCTCATAATGTAATATTATGTCCTTATCTCAAAATAAACAAATGTTAAAGCTAGCTGCACAAGCTTGATAAACAGGTTAGACAACGTTAGGTCTAAATCACCAAGGACAGCGGTCCACAACTGTGTGTTTGGAAGACGTACTGTACTTGTTCAAAAGATGTTATAAGGCGCAAAAATTACAACTAACACATACATGTATTGCTTTTCCGACTTTAATTGTCAGAACCCTGCAAAAACATTCACAAAATGTGGAGCCTTTTATGTCTGCATGGGAATGCTGATTCTCAAAAGGGCTCTGCTGTCGGTGTTCAATGTGCAATTAAAAAGGGATTCAGTGGTTTCCCCAGAAATTAAATGTCGCTTACGCTAATAATGGTGTCATTATTAATGTCTCTGTAATTCAGAACCCGCTTGAGACCGGTCATACTCTTGTCTTTTGAAAAAGCTGGACGTGAGCTTTAGTCACTGACACCTTCACCTGAGACAGCAACAGAAAACCCCTGTGCCTGCTTCCTGCTCTCCTGGCCCACTGACATGAGTATTAATTCCCTCTGACAAGATCGCAACATTTTCTACCTCATTGTAAAATGGGGAGTTGGTCCCCTCTTTAACTGTCGTTTGCTTCTTTTCCTCTCCGACTTCAATCACTACACAGGGGTCGATGTTCTCTCCCACCAGCTGTCGAGCCTCTGTGATGTTAAAGGAAATCTAAAAGCGCAAATACAGACTCCGTTTAAACTTTCTCACAACAACCCCGGGCATGAATACGATGCAATATGTACAATATGCAACGTATGTAATCCATTTTCAGTGTAGTAAATGCTCATTCAATTTAGCACATCTGTCATTGCGTTTACAGTGGCAGACACTGTAAACTGACGTCTTAGAGAAAACTATGTAAGATAAGTACAGACAGGACAGAGCGACAAACTGAGAAAATTAAATTGACAGGCAATGCGCTCTGCGTTGGGTTTAACAAGAAAGTACTGTGCATAATTTACAAAGAAAATCTGTTATGATTTAACACAGAAGGTGGTTTTGCATGAAGGAATTCATGAAAGCAGTATGGCATTCCTTTGCAGGGACAAAACAGAGCTAATTTGTGTACATTATAACCAGAAATATGTGTTCAAACAATGAGCAAGCGTTATTTACAGTTGATTTTCTAGTGGTACGCTCAATTTACAGCTTAATTGTATGGTTAATTAACAGAAGGCCCTGCTAAAAAGATACATAAAAGAGAAAAAATATTGTCCCAATATTCACACTGTAAAAGAAAAAAATAAGTTGTTTGCTTTTTCTAGCACTTTACAGCCTTTAGTTTACAGATCTGACACAACAATATATGCAAGTATTAGAAGACCGTATCAGAAAAAGCTGTTGGAAACAGCTGTAGTGCAGTATTTTACATACGGAAACAATCTCTGTCATTTTCCGATTTGTTTAATATTCATTTACCTGGAATGACTGCGGTTTACTCTCACTGTCATGGATTTTGTTTACGGGCTTGGATCTGTTAGGGAGACACAAAAACAACATTTGTTTTGTTGCATAATTGGATTTTACTTTGCTATTGTTGATTGCAGACACATTCCACAAGTATCCAACCACACATTATGAGAACACCACTCACTTCTGTCAAACGTCGTGGCACAGGGTGCAACTTGGGACGGCCTGGGCATGGTGCCAGTCCATCACAGGGCATGCAAACACACACACAGGGACTAATTTAAGACACCAATTAACATAACCAGTGTGTCTTTGGATGGAGAAGGGGAGACCACGGCTCCTGCAGAAAGCCCACAAAGGCACATAGAGAACATGCAGACTCCACACCGAATGTGTCTCAAGCTGAACTTGACCCAATAACTGAGAGGCAGCAGCAGTAACCCTTATGGCGCTGTGTAACAATATATACGTTGGTGTTTTAACATTAAGCACACTTGAGCACTGAATACCTTTTTCTGATTTTTGGTTTTCTGGGGGTTCCCGAAGGGCCAGCCAAACTGCCATCTTCTGTTTCACCTGCTCCAGCCAGCGCAGGGGTTTCTGGAGTGACGTCTGTTTCACTGCCATCTGTAAAGTGTACAATTTCCAATCAATACGTTGAAGCACCACCAATTCTGTACTCTTAACCACAGTCACTATAAATGGAAGTTTTTCACTGATGTTTGGGTGAGATATCATAGACAAGCCAATCACACACAGCTGTGCCTTAGGAACATCTCCACCAAACCAGCTACATAAACTGAACTCAAATACCTCCCTTCATCTTCCTCTCCTTTCTTTGAAATCCCTGAATCTGTGACGTTCTGTACTCTGAAACTTAGGATATTGGATTTGAAACACAGACGCCAACAATATCGACTGATTGGTATGACAATTTGTTTTGTTTTTACAGAACATCCTAAGGTACAGTATATGCTTTTTATTTTCAAAATTTACCATCCTCCCCCTGAAGCCTTAATAAGACATGTTTTCTTTAAAAAAAATAACAATTTCCTAGTGAACAGAACGCATGTTTGCACACTATCATTACCGAACAACACAGAGTGTAAACAAATCTAACATCTTTATAACTGGAGAAGGTGCTTGGTAAACAGAGGGTGTGTTTGTTTTATAGGCCTTACCCAGAGCACCCTTATTTGCAAAGACTAAGCCCTTGTCAGCCTTTTTCTTTTTCTTCTTAATACCAAACATCCCTTTCCTGAAATAGAAAGAAAAAGTAAGATAGATGCCAACAGCATGTGAAATTCAGAGAAGTAAAATAACAGAGCTGTGATGAATTTTGACTTTCTCAGGCACCATGACCAACCATTATGTGACACAGAGTTCTAGAGTGTGGAAAGTATGAAGATGAAACAGAAATAGATGTCATTCCTTTATCTACAACTTAGAGCAAAATCAGAAACGCAGTCTCCTCAGTGTGGAAAGCAGACCTAGTGGGTTAAAATACATTTAAAAATTGTAAGCTGATTCAGTTAATGATACAAAAAACAGCGAAGGTTTGCTTCTTGCAGTTTTAATGCAGTTCAAAGCATTTCTATGCTGATTCTGAAAATGTCTGTTGGGTTGACTTTGTTTATGCTTTTGAATATTTTGAAGACTTGAAGGAGGTGTCCTTGAAGTGATCTCTGCTCAAAACATAAAAAAGATTCTGATTTTTTTAGCCCTGAGAGTAAAGGACATTCCTTTCAGCATGAGAATATATCTGGCCACTCTTCTCTGGACTAGTGCCAGAGCAAAAAAAACTTTCTTGAATGATGTCCAAAATTGAACACAAAGAGACTGTGGTAGTATTGGGTCAAATGTAGCTCTGACATGTAAGCCTCAGTTAGTTTAGTATTTTTAAGGAGTTACACAATTGAAAAAGATAGACAAGATGCAGCACATTTTTTTCAGATCTGTGATATACTGTATCAGTGTGTTTTCTTTTATGCCTTGAGTTTAAATAGATTATATTGTCTGTTAATGTATCTATTATATTTCTTATTAATAATAGTAGTAATATTATAATATTATATTTATCTAATATTATATTAAAGTTCTAAGAATTCCACAATCCTGACATGTATTGTAAAATAAATTATAGAAAAATGTGAGTCTTTTTCTAGACAGTTAAATTGCCAGAGCTTTATTAGCATCACAAACATGATCAGAAATGAATGGTAGAACCTAAAAAAAATACCCAATGTCAAAACAAATGGCTTTTGTCTCTTACCGCTGTGTTGTTGGGGTAGACGTGTCCATCTTGACCAGTGGGTATTCCACCTGTGTCCCCTCACTCTAATGAAATGCCCAGAACCCCAGTGTCTGGAAGACGTTACAGTATCTGCATTCCTGTCTCATGCAATGAAGCTCTGACTTGTTAATCAGTAAAAGTGAATGAAGGGTAACTATGCTCCAAAACCATGGTTCTGAGCCAAGCCCTTACATATCTAATATAGTGGCACCTCCCTTACAGAAAACATTCCCTATTTGCCTGGAAAATACTGTATAAGCCCAGGTGACTTTTTCCTTTGTTTTTCTTTTGTTTGAGTCACATGTTACAGTACGTCTCCATTTTGACTTCTGATTTTGAAAAACCTGAATTGAGGTGAATGTAAAACAGTAAGTGCTGTCCTTGCCTCATTCTCACCTGGTGTGTGATGACACATGTGCGCCCCGCAAGTTAATCTTTTCTGCTTAGCTTAAATTACAGTAACAAGCCTGCTTTGCTGTCTATGTTTCCAAAATTGCAAACTCTGCTCATGGTTCCTTTTGTCTTACTATAAACTAACAATGGCCGATGGCACTTAAAGTTTCTTCTGGATTCTTTTTAATGATCAAATTAACTCATCTGCATTTAAGCAAACATGAAGTGTCTAGGGACAACAAAATAATGCCCAGCAGTCAGAAACCTGAAACTGGATGAGTGTAGCTCTTGTTTGCAAAGGGACTTAAACACTGTCATGGCCTTTCTGGTTGTAAATATGTCATAGTAATAATAGTTACATTTGCTGCTGCATTGCCTCTGGCAAAGGTTCAATTCCGCTAGTCATTTATTTAGGGCAGCAAGAGGAATCTGTCGTAAAACATCAAAGTGGACAACTTTGCTTAGAATGTTCACCAGATCATGAGAAATCAGTTCTTCACAACCCAGAATATACCCCGGGAGCACAGGGTTCAATGCAGGACTATAACCCAGAAGGGACACCAGTTCAATGCAGGGGACACACACAAACATGTAGGTACAATGTTGAAACACCAATTAAATTAGCCATTATGCCTTTGGAGAGTGGGAGAAAAGCAGAAACAAATCATGCCAACACAAAGGGAACATGCAAACTCCACACAGAAAGTTTGACAGTCCCCAATCAATCCCAGAGCTAAGGAACAGCTGTGATAATTATCAACTCGCATCGATAACACAGTTTCAATAGCTATGCTCTTTTGTTTTCAGTAAAGTTGTTATGCTGAGAGTTTCCTTTTTTAAGGAAACCTATTCTAGGCCTATTCTACATTGTGGCATTAAACTAGATAAAGGTGATATTTTTCTATCATCACCTTGACACAGTTTTTTTTCCCCTCAGTTTTCTGTGCACTTTCCTGTTTTTACTTTTGCTATCTGAGTGGAAATTCCACTTCCTGGCCTTCAGGTTAGTCAGCAGTTTCATTGATGTCTCTCACTGATGTCTGTCATATCAGCTCTTCTGTGGAACTGGGGCTTCCTTTGTGCCACATTCAAATTTTCATAATCATTTTAAAACAATCTACTGTAGGGGATACTAGATATGTTTTCTGGTGAAAATAGTCTATTTTAATATTTATTTGCTGAACAATGGTCAGAAAAACAGCACAATAACAAAGTTAAGATAGCCTGGTATGCATGCAAGTCTGGAACAGATACTCAGTCATGTTGTTAAGCCCATAAACTGGCTTCTTTAAGAAATGACTGGATGAAAAACCTAATTAGCTGCCAAAAACCAGATAGAAAGTCCCCCTGATGTTCTGAATGGCCTCCTTTCTGAAACCTTTTGTATTTTCAACCTTTTCTCATGTTCTTATATAAATTATTGCTCTTTTCATTATACTGTATATTATTACCGTATAATTACCATATTACTCTTACAAACCACACTTTCATATGATATATGAAAGCAAGATTGGACTGACTCAATCTCTAATTTGAGTGAGCTGATCATGCAAATAATGCTAATTTTTACTGAATGTTACATTACTGTAGTGTACTATAGCTGCAAGTAGAATTGCTTCTATTTTAAGGTTACCAGCAAAGTGTCCTTTAAGCAGTTAAGTAATGCTGTTCATTAAGAATGTCTTTACCATTCAACCTCAAACCCAATATCAGAAACAGAGGTCTAATAACTGCATTCTAATGTTTTGCTGTATTGACTTACAGCAAACGGCTTTGTGTAGCCGTTGTCTTATATGACAACGGCTACACAAACTCCCAGGTTCGATTCCTTGCGGGGCAGTGTGGGGTTTGCGGTCATGTCCCTCTCACTTAGTTGGAATGAGTATAGTTAAAGTTGCTGTCCATTCATCCATTCATTGATCTCACAGACCTCTTTATCTTGGCTGAACCAGGCAGTCTTTTCTTCCTACAGTACCTGAGGTCTGTGGTAATTGCCTGCTATTTTGCTCAAATTCTCAAATTCATTCCACTGGATTTTTTGTCTCAGGATCACTAGCTGAGACTATGCAGAAGGCAGTTCGTGTGAACCATTTGTTGTCTGAAAATACCTTAGGTGGAGCTTATACTGTATAGATTAATTCTTATAAGAGTATTGTACCAGCTTCACAGGTATAGTATCTGTGTTATGTAAATTAAAAAAGTAGATAGATAGATAGATACTTTATTGATCCCGTGAGGGAAATTGCAGTGCAACAGCAGCTTAACACACACAACACAGCCACAGTGTAACGAATTATATACTAATAGTACAATACATACAATACAATACAAGAGTTACTCACAGTCCGGACACACAAGAGGAAACTAGAACAGAACAGTACACAGAAAATCGTATCACACGTATGAATATAAATATAGATGTAACCATAGATATACATATAAATATAAATGTATTGCACAGGTCCCTGGCATATATTGCACAAAAGTGGTTGTAAACGGGAAAAAGAAAAAGAAAAAGAAAGAGAACAGATGTAGCAGTATATGTGTATATGAGTGCTGGAAAACCTGCAGTTAAAATAAACAGAAATAAGCACAAGGGCAGTAGCTAGCAATAACGTTTTAAAACAGAGGTTAACATCAAAACTGACATAAAAAATCCTTTACATTGTTAAAAGAAATATAAAAATGTCTTACCTTGCCTATTTTAAGGGATGAAATAAGACAATACAATCTGCTTCTGGCAATCCAAGATGCACATCACAGTCTTCTGCACAAGACGTAAGATCGTAGCATTTTTAATTAAAAAAGATGAGCTGATGTGCTAAAAACTCTTCTGCACCCTGCGAGTTCTTAATACTGTGTCACAACCAGAGGTGTCAGGTAAGGGATTCACAGTAAAAAAAAGTAAAAATAAATATATTCCTTAAAAAACAATTTCAGTGGCTGTAATTGTTTTTTATCTTCAGTGCTAATATTTGTTCTTAGGGCAGGAGATCTCATTGACCAGACTATAATCTCATGGCATATGGCTTCTGTTTCTTCAAACCAAATGTCCACCATCTGATAAAGCTTTCAGGTACAGTATCTGGTACAGTATCTGGTGACAATACCAGGAAGACATACTATCTCTGAAAATGGAGATATGATAATTTCACTAAAACCAGTTTCTTAAAAAATAGAGCTGGATATATTGAGAAACTAAAAAAACAAACCAACAGGACATGGTTCCTTGTTTGTTAAAAAAAAAACTGGCCAGTAAATCTCAAGTGGGATTTTTTTTTTAAAGTTAGGAGAGTGATTTTCAGCTTTTGTTCATTAGTTGAATTAAAACTGGATTTGAAAACTGGCCTAATTTGTAACTTACACTGCAAAAATGTCAATAGATTGCTTTTACTTTATCAGCCCTAGGTGGAAATGTATTGTTAGACATTCAGAAATGAGTTTTTTCAACATTTAGTCATCTTTCACCCCCCAGAAAGCACATCTCACACGCCCAGGTTAAGAACCACTGCTCTAAGTCATTTTGTTATTCTCATTGTCTCTGTTTGTTTTTGCCACCCTGCATTTTTGAATACTGTAATCTACAATTTAACTAGGTAGCCATGCAAGATTTAATGACTATTTGTATCATAATCTACACCATGCCTGCAGCACAACACTGTGTACATCTGCCCAATTTGAAGTTGTGTTTCTTCCCAGATCATATGTAACACTGCAGCGTCATGTTAATAATAAAGAAATTATAAAACAAATTAAGGACCATAGTTTGTCAATTTCCAATTTACTATGTTGTTATCGTTCCTGAAAATAACACCTTAGCTGCCACTGAGAGACTCCTTCCCAATTACATGCAAAGGCTACCTACTGTTACACCCCTGTCTTATTCTGTAATGTTAATTACAACGATAACACTTCACTTTAATGATTCAAACCTAGAATGTCTGCTGAAACAGATTTGCATGTCGCATCGATTTTTTTTTTGTTTCTCATCACCTATCTACCAATCTTGAAACATAGTTTTTTTTTTCTTGCCAAGTTATGTGTTTACTTAACTTCTGGGAACAGGATGTAAGGTAACTGTGCAAATATACACCCCTGGTAAACAGGTGGTTCAAAAGTCCCTTGAAAGCGCCTGTCACACTGTTCTCCTCTGTCACCATTAACAACAGGACAGAAGATAATACCTTCAAGCTTATCAAAGCTATCAATCAATAACAAACAATGGTGTCTACTACTTGAAGTGCTTTAAAAACAGGGATAAACCTCCATACAATAGAATAGATTATACAGAAACTGCAACGAGAAACCATAATTTGCAGCACTGTTATCAGAAGCTACAGAAGGCTTTGGCTTAGATCAGAAGCTATGCAAGCCTATGTTAATTCCAGTACTGGGGTGGGGGATCTCCAAGGCCATCCTGGTTATTGTTGTAATTGGTGCTGGTAGACCAGTAGGTGGCGCTCTAACCTCTGGATCAGAACTTCACGAAGATTTCCCCAGTGAGAAAGAAACCACAGACACACACAGTAGTGTAGGAGGTGCTCCCGAAATAGTCATTAAATCTTGCATGGCATCATTTGAAGAGTAAAGCTGTTATCCCTGGCTCTCTGGGCTAAATTTCATCCTGGAATTGCACATTCGGGTCTACCTAATGTTCCCCCTTAATTAAACTGGTGAAAGATCCTCACTTCACTACCTGATTTGTTCTGTACTGGGGCTGCTGGTGCAAAATGGCTAAATCACTTCACCCAGGTGGATGTTTTCACTTCAATAGTGGGTCCACTCTGTTATGTACAGTATTTTGGGATCCTTTGTAAAGAATAGCCCTAAATAACTCCAACAAATTATTAATTCTTAATAAAGAAAATTGAATATTGTAATAATTAGTGTAATATTGCCAGCAGCCATATCACCCTTCAACTCACAACTGGCAGCCCACTGAAGCTCAGCAGGTGTGAGCCTGGTCAGTACCTGGATGGGAGACCTCCTGGGGAAAAACTAAGGTTGCTGCTGGAAGTGGTGTTAGTGGGACCAGTAGGGGGCGCTCACCCTGCTTTCTGTGTTGGTCCTAATAATGACAGGGACACTATACTGTAAAAAGGCGCCATCCTCCAGATGAAACATAAAACTGAGGTCCTGACTCTCTGTGGTCATTAAGAATCCCAGGGTGTTTCTCGAAAAGAGTGTAACCCCGGGGTCCTGGCAAATTTCCCATTGGCCCTCACCAATCATGGCCTCCTAATAATCCCCATCTATGAACTGGCTTCATCACTCTGCTCTCCTCCCCACTGATAGCTGGTGTGTGGGTGAGTGGACTGACGCACTATGGCTGCTGTCACATCATCCAGGTGGGGCTGCACACTGGTGGTGGTGGAGGGGAGTCCCCATTACCTGTAAAGCGCTTTGCGTGGAGTGTCCAGAAAAGCGCTATATAATATAATAATAATAATACATTTTATTTTATATAGCGCCTTTAAAGGCGGCTTCTCAAAGCGCTTTACAGGATGACAATAACAATAAATAAGAAGACTACAACAATAAATAAGAAGATTTCACAAGATGAGACACAATTACAATTACAACAATAACAATAGAGGAGACCGTGGATGGTGGTACTAAGAAGAGCAGAGGGGTGAAGAATGGAACCAGTTAAGTAAAGGCTTTTCTGAAGAAGAAGGTTTTGAGTCTGGATTTGAAGGAGTGTACATATATATATATAGGTGTAAGTAATTATTATTAATTATTATTAGAGATGGATAGGTGTCATAAAACGATTACTTTGTAATTGTTGTGATGATAGAATCCCAAGTCAAAAGTTTTCTTTCTTGAAAGAGAAATAAAATATTGAAACCTTTTAAAGCACTGTCACCCCTGTCCAGCAGGTGTCAGTAATGAAGCCACGCAAGGGACCTTTAAGAGGGGTCACATGACAGGGGTTAACGTCCCCTCCTCCCGACCCCGTGATCTCCAGCACCATAACAACAACATTGGAAGATGGCGAGCGGGGAGGAGGTAGGAGCCGCGGTGGGTCGGGATCCTTTCATGTCCTCCTCGACGGACGCCTTGGAGGCCCTGTTCCCGGCCGGGGAGGCCGAGCGGGCGGCCGGGGACGGCAGCCCGGAGCTGCGGCGGCTCCGCGAACGTCTGCAGGGATTGCTGGCGCAGTACGAGCTCGCCGTGCTCTGGGTGCAGAGGCTGCTGGTGTGGGAGAGGCCACTGCACAGCATCGTCGTCGCCTGCACGCTGAATGGCGTGTTCTGGTAAAACATCTCATCCTTTAAAGGCTACCGGCCCTTTCTTGAAAGCCACTGACACCGTTATGCGCGTTTTAAACCCGTCCTGTTAGTCACGCCATGTAAGACTGCGAGTAACGGCACTGCGCACAAACGCACAAGCCGGGTGGTCGTTGCTCGGTTGTGATAAACACCACTTTTAAAGGCAGAAACGGTGGAGTTCAGAGCCCGTCTTCTTTTTGTTTTGTTTTGTTTTTTTTTTAGTCGGGAAGGTCGTGCCTGCGTTTGTCGGCAAACCGTACTGTGAGAGAGAACCTGGGTTTAAAAAAAAAAATGTCTTGCAACTTGACAGCAGAAATGTCCATTGGCCTTCCTGTCTAAAACACGCCGCCCGGACATTTTAGAAAGAAAACTGCAGCGCATTTACTGAAAAAAGTCTGGTCCGTGAATGTATGGTCAGCTGCGAGTCTGAGAGAATGAAAATAGTGTTTATGACAGTCGCCTCAGTTTTTATCGCAGCTTAACAGGACAGAAGTGTTCACACACACACACCGGCGCGTTTGCTTGACTAAAATTAGATTGAAATACTTGAGTTTAAAAAATCCTGTGCACATTTCAATGCATCTTTGCTTCGTCTAGAAGCTGTTGGGGTGGCATTTTTATGAACCGCTTGGTTTTATTTGCGGTGCAAGTTTGTGGGTGGAAAGAGACTTGGAGACAGTAATGTCTTTGCTGTCACTCTCTCTTATTGACACTACAAGTTAATTGTTGTTTTTTTTAACTTGCTGACATCGATGCCTGTATGGGGTTTGTGGTAGAGAAACATGTTACCGTGTACAATGGGTTGGTTTGCTTGTAGGCAGCTGTATGCCAATCGAGAAGTTTTCCAACCAAAAGAAACTCAAAATATTGGGAGGGCTGTGCACCTTAATCATCTAACTTCATTGGGGGATTTGTGTCTCCATACCAAGAAAACGCTGATCTCGGGTAGGATAGTTGCAGATGTCCACAGTGTCATGACAGTCCGGTCCGGCTGTCGTTAATTACCTAGCTTCATAATTGAATTTGAGGTTAATTGCTCGCGTGAGCCAGCCAGTGCTTCCTGACCCCCAGCTGTGTCGTTTCAGCAGCGTGTTTCTAATCAATTAATTAGGCATCCGGAAAGAGAGCTCTTTTCTGAGGGGGGGGAGGCTTTTTCGTCGACTTGCATGCGGTTTTCCTGGTACAGACAGGAAGGTTTGTTTGGAGATTTTTTTGTCTTGTTTTTGAGTCCTCTGGATCGTGTAACTGTGATTCTTCGGAACAGCATGCATCCGCACATTGTCATGATAACCTATTATTTTGTGAAAGGATGTCATTTGTCAGCTTTCCTTTATTTTTTGTTCTTCCCTCTGTACAGGCTTCTGTCCTCCACGACCCTGAGACCCCTGTTCCTGCTAAGCCTGTCTCTGCTGGGGCTGGTGTTGCTGGAGAGGTGGAAAGACAAACTGCCTGCCATCACAGGTAAACTGGGACAGTCAAGCGTCTCAGAGCAGGGAAGGGTCAGAACCCTACCTGCTTTCAGCGTGCACAGAGGGGTAGTTTTACACACTGTTGGAGCACTCTTGATTCCTTAATGACTGGGATCCGTATATGTAATTTGTGGTAATAAACATTCCAGAAGCAGCTCTTAACTAATGGGTGGGACACAGTGTCGGACTGGAATGTGAGACGTTTGTGTGGTGCTCTTCTGTTTGTGTGTGAAGTTGTGTAGTTGAGAAAAAATGTGAGGAGCTCGTAGGAGGATGGTTAGGGATGGAAAGTGAATGAAAGCCTGAATTATAACGGGCTGGTTGTATTTTGTGTTTATATTGAAACTGTTCCTGATGGACAAGAAATAAAACTTTTTACTCAAACCCGGTATTTCAAGGGATTCTATCATCAATGATAGAGTGTCTATGATACCTATACATCTCTAATAATAATAATTACTAACACTTATATAGCACTTTTCTGGGCACTCCACTCAAAGCGCTTTACAGATAATGGGGACTCCCCTCCACCACCACCAATGTGCAGCCCCACCTGGATGATGCGACGGCAGCCATAGTGCGCCAGAATGCTCACCACACACCAGCTATCAGTGGGGAGGAGTGCAGAGTATTGAAGCCAGTTCATAGATGGGGATTATTAGGAGGCCATATTTGGCCAGGACACTGGGGTTACACCCCTACTCTTTTCGAGAAACACCCTGGGATTTTTTATTACTACAGAGGGTCAGGACCTCGGTTTTATGTCTCATCTGAAGGACGGCGCCTGTTTAAAGCATAGTGTCCTGTCACTAAACTGGGGCATTAGGACCCAGTGAGCAGTGAGCGCCCCCTGCTGGCCCCACTAACACCTCTTCCAGCAGCAACCTTAGTTTTTCCCAGGAGGTCTCCCATCCAGGTACTGACCAGGCTCACACCTGCTGAGCTTCAGTGGGCTGACAGCTGGGAGCTGCAGGGTGATATAGCTGCTGGCTCTCTAAACCTTAGCTGTAGCTATTGACCAGAATATGGTTTTATATATCCTCATGTACAAAAATATTTTTTGTTGCGTTGTGACAGTGATAGTGAACCCTAAAAAAATTTAACAACTCCCCCCCAAATAAAGTTCAGATTTATTGAGTCTACAGAAATTCTGCTGAATTCTTATTTAGGAAAGAGCCCTTTGCTGACTTTGTGATAAAGTGGGGAAAAAAAGTACAATGCTTAAATGTTGGATTGGCTTCCATTTGGGATTGGAGTATTTTTCTCTGGCTTTTGGTCCGTGGTACCTAAGTGCTAATATGGCCCTCTGGAGGTTCAGGATGGTACTTCAACTTTCAATACCAAGCCTTGATACAGTACACCACCCTAGTTATGAGCTGCTGAATTATATTGTCTGCTGCTTATCCGCCCTTCATTGATCTCCCCTGATCAATTATCTGCCTTGAACAGGATGAGTCAGCCATACGAGGAGCTTAAACTGTATTTTTAGATACAACGTGAGCTGATTTGTTATTTTTGTTCCAGTACATTAATTGTGTGTTAAGCGAGCTGTTTGGTTTTGAAAAAGCTGTACCCAAAGAAGAAGCAATAAATGAATCGTGTCATTTTGTGTGATGGAAATATCCTGCTGACCGATTTGACCTGACCCAGTTCTTTTTTGCTGTTGGGCTTTCAGCTGCCCATCTCAGTGTGGCTAGTTATTTGAAGTTACTCTTGCCTTTTGTTAACCAGTATTTAGTGGTGGTGGCAGCTGTTTCATATTAAGCAGCAAAATGTGTGGTGCAGGGCTCACTCTGTGTGTAGCAGCTTTCCAGGTGATGCTGTAAAAGTGTATTAATGAAACATGGCACTGACACGGTTATTAAATTTCTCCTCTCTTGACAATTTCCCATGATCTGAATATGCTTCTACTTAATTGTTCCAAAAATGACATCTGGCAGAAATCAAAGTAGAAGGCTAAACTGCTCAATATTTCTTTTTTTTATAGGTGTAAGTGACTTGATTAAGTTTAAAGCACTGTTTTGTCTCATGTGTATTGAGATGAGTTCATTAACTTTAACATTTACATTATCCTGCATATCAAGTGGCTAGATACCATGCAATATGTTATTTTCAGCAGACACAGACATCGTGGTTTTCAAAAGAGGCAAAAATAACTGGGCTTCAAAATGATTTTCAAAACCTGGTTTATGGTGCCGAATATATTTCGGCCTTCTTCAGTTCAGCGAGTTCAAAGTTACTTTATTAAATAATGGGTTTAATTGATTTGTGATCAAGTTTTTTTTTCTTTGTTTGAATGTTCTTTTGTAACTATCCTGTCGCAAAGATTCAGTTTCCAATGCTGTACCTGCTATCAAATCATTCTGTGATACTGGGGAATATCTGCTATCAGTCCTTGAACAACAGAAGAGAGATCCTCATCAATTATGAAGTTGTACATGTAATGAAATGTAAAATATTAAAATTGATGGAAATGAGTCTGATTTAAACATACTTGTGCCAAAACACAGCAGTGACCGTTGGCTTGAATAATAAAAGACAAATACAAATTCTACACAAGATGCAATTTTGTTGTTTGTGGCACTGACATAAAAAAACAAGTATATCAGTCTGTGTTAATCTTTAGAAAATTCAGAAATAACATTTTGGAATTGAAAGGTTTTTGACATCTCTTTGATTAATCAATTGTTTCAACATTACCTGATCAGCGAGTAATTGGATGCAGGTGCTGAGGTGATTTAATAGGAATGTCAAGCAGGGTAAAAATACAAGAACAAAAATGCAGAAAGATACCAGTATACCCAGTTTGGATGTATACGCAGGCGAAAGAGCTGTGCATGTTACTTTTTGAAGTGACTAATACCTTATTTCACCTCAGTAGTCTTTTGAACATTTGCTGTGTTTTCTGGTCAGATATAATACTGAGGTAAAACTTGCACCATGTCATGGGAACTGTAGCTCCCAAATCTCCTTATCAACAGTATTGGTACGTACATGCAGTAAGGCACCATGACCCTAAAATTAGTCATCGCTAATAATATTACTGTAGAGCTTTTTAAAAAAAAAAGTATTAGTGAAGTATCCTTCTATCTATAGATGTCCTTCCAATATAACATTTAACATTTAATATTTTTCTTTTGCTTCTCCTGCTTGGGCTGCAGTTCGGTACCCAGAAGCCTCCGGAAGTGACACGTATGTACTCAACCAAAAAACATGTTCGCCACGTTCTCTTCAGAATGTCTTGAAGCACTTAATGTTACCTTTTTGAAGGCTGAGTAGGCCTGTAAATGGTGTGTAGTCTGGCAGCGACAGTGGTTTTCATGTTTTGACAAATTGTTTGAACAAATCTGGAAACCATCATTGAGATGAGCGAGTGTTTGCATTTTCAATTTGTCGCGTTTTTCTTTTGAGTAGGACTTCTCAGTTTGTAAATTAATTTTAACTAAAGAAATCTGGGTACTTAAAATGAAACAAAGCACTATTTATATTGCATGTTGTAAATGACAAAAACAGTTACAGAAAAATAGGACTTCTTTGTACAAAGAAAAAACAACTAATAAACTTCAACAATTTGCTCCTAATACTAATACTTTTAGAAATTGTTAGTAGAAATGTACTGACATGTCTTGGCCTCCTATCTAATCTTTCTCCTACTGAAACACTCCTTGGTCATAAGGCCTCTAGCTAAATGTTTGAACCATTGAGTGACATCTGAAAACAAAGCTAGAAGCTATTAAAATATTTGACACATTTTTCCAAGCCTTGCCCCATTATTGTAGCATACATTGCATCCATTTTTTTTGTCTATTTTTGTGTGTTTGGTGTTCTCTGCTGGGGAAAAAAATTCTCAATTGGAGTACTTTTGAAATGGGACTGGACTGTTTCTGTATCTTCAGAGAAAATATAGCAGTGCATCCCCGGCTCCTAAGTGTTCCAGAGCTTAGTCACCATCTGGCTGAGAGCTACCTGACCTGCAGCCTCTACATTCAAGAAATGCTGCAGTACAAACGGCTCAATCATGGCAAGGTAATATATCTCTCGTGATTAACATGATTGCATGATCAAGTGGATCGGGTTTTCATCTAAATAGATTTTTATCTAAAGTGATTGCTGGAGAACAAGCACTACATTTCCAGAATATATAGTTTAAACTTTGAAATGCCTAGTTCTACTTGTTTTGATATGTTCTAATGTATGGGATTTAAGATTTTGTCTGTACTCTTAATCTGTTTGTGGTGAAGATTGTTTTCATTCAACCAGAATCCATCCAGGGTATAACAGAATTTGTTCCAAAGCAGTAATACCTTATGTTTACTTCTTTATCATTGCTTTAACATTTTCCTTAATGTAAAAGAGTTCAACACAATATTTTGTAGATTTTAATATACAGTATGTTATACATTATATAGTTCTGGGTCACAGGGGAGCCAGAACCTATGCAGCAAGCAGCAGACGTGAGGCAGGGTACACCCTGGATGGAACACCAGTCCATCTCAGGGCAGACACACAGACACAATCGCAGACATGCACTCACTCACACCTAGGGTCTATTTTCCCAGGAGCTAGTTAACCTACTGGTATGTCTTTGGACTATGGTAGAAGACTGGTGCACCCAAAGGAAACCCCTCAAGAGCACAGGTAGAACATACAAACACCACACAGATGGCGGCCCAGGTCTAGAATAGAACCCAGAACCCCAGTGCTATGAGGCAGGAAAGTGAACCACTGCACCACTGTGCTATCCATATTATACATTATTTTAAATACATGTAAATATAATGCTTATTATCTGTCTTTTACCCTCTCTAACCATCTCTAAACATGGCATTACACTGCAGAAATTATTCATATTTCTACACGGATGAAAGTGATCTCTTTTTTATCTTTAAGAGCCAAAACCCCTATTTTTGGAACTTATTCTTCTGTTTTATACATTATATTTGTTCTGGTTTACTCAAGCATGGGTGGATGGAAGATCACTTCAAGGAAAATCATGTTGCAGCTGGAAGTGGTGCAAGTGGACCAGCAGGTGGTGCTCTTCTTGACTAACACTTCAATGTGGTGCGATCACTATGCAATAGGAAAATGCTGACCATCAAATCTGGTGTTAAACTGACACCTTCTCTACTGGTGGTTGTTAAAGATCATACAATACATATACTCTTGCCTTAAATGTGCTCTTTTCATGAAGACTAGGTGTGTTAACCCCCATGTCCTGGCTAATTTCCACTTATCCGAACCCACCTTTATTTTACCAATAGCTGACCTTGATGGTTTTCTCGCTTCATCACATTCATATGAATCGATTCCCATTCAATTTGTGAAGCTCTCGATCTTCAGAATGATAGCTACTGTGTAAATACAAGGAATACTTGTATTAGGTGTAAGTGGTCTTATTCAGAATTAAGTATTGTGTTCTTTATTATGTTCTTTCAGTTCTGTGCGATGATGTGTGCAGGATGCTCAATTTTGGCTGTTGTTGGACATTACATCCCAGGAATAATGATCTCGTATATTATATGTAAGTAAATATGAGTGCATATCACTCTCTGACATTAATCCCACTTTTTAAATTGGTCATCTTATGGGAGGTCTCAAAACAAGATCAAGACAGTTTTTTTATTTCTGTTTCTCTGGTGTGTTCCGCAGTGCTGAGTGTACTGCTCTGGCCACTGGTGGTATACCATGAGCTGATTCAGAAGATGTACACTGGGCTAGAGCCCATCCTGATGAAACTCGACTACAGCATGAAGGGAGGCACGCAGCACCGCAAGCATGAGAAGAAAAGTAAGTCACTTTTAAAGAAAAGCAGCAGGGCAGCTGACAAAAGACAGAGCCAAAATAAACAGTCATTAACAGATTTAATGAAGGGCCTGTTTTATTGAATTGTTGATCCAATTTTATCCTAGTTTAATATTTACATTGACAGACTTTGTAACTATTTTGCATCAAAGGCACGGGCCATTGTTTGACTTAGGATCATTGTAAACAGTGTATAGGGACTGAGAAAAGCCAAACAACTTTTCCCTTTTGGATTCCTCTAATTCTTCACTATTTTGGGCCATCAAAACGTATCAACAAGCAAAAGCTACAAAACTGTTAAATGTCAAATTTTCTAAAAATGACTGAGCTTTGCAGGCTTTCGTACCAATTCAGTGTGAGTAAATGGTAAATATATATTTCCAATCTGCATCTGTATTAAGCAGTTTTAGGTCTCCTCTTGCCCCCTTAGTCAGCAGCTCAGGAATCCTAGAATGGCTCAAACAGCTAATTAGTGGGTGTCTTTATTCTGTGTTGGTGAAATGCTTTTTTTTTAAGTAATACAGTAAATAAGGAGAGGGTGCAAGTCTCTGGTAGTGGATGTAAGGATATGAAAAACATATCTTGCATTTAAGAGCTGTGGTCTTATAAGAGTTAACATCTTGTGTAGAAATGAAAAAGGAGCCAGAAGGAAGTGAAGAGGCGCTGGCAGAGACCGAGAGTGAAAGTGAGGAGGAGCTTTCCTGTTTCTCTCCAACTGTAAGTACTCTTCCCATGGGTCTGCAAATAAGTAGGTCCTGTGTGCCACACTTCAGGATTCGCAGGCCTGTGTCTGTATCGGACTGGCCAGTGGCTTATTTATGTACTGCGGAAATAAAGGGCTGGAGTGCTGTCAATGTCTCTGCCAGGTGGACGTGAAGACGGCTGCTCTCGCCTTGGCCATCACAGACTCGGAGCTGTCTGATGAAGAGGCCTCAATTCTGGAGAGCGGTGGATTCTCTGTCTCCAGGGCAACAACACCACAGCTCACTGATGTGTCAGAAGGTAAACCCGTTTTGCTTCTCAGAAAAAAAAACATCCTGCACTTGTGTAGTGATTTCACAAAGGGTAGGTACTGTAAGTGAATTCATATGTCTGGGATCTTGAAGATCGTATAGCATTCACAGACTGAATGACAATGTCACTGGAATGACGGGTGTGATTCAGCAGGTTGGATGGTTTTTAGTCACCGGTTCTTGCACAAGGACTACAATTCCAAAATTCTGATTCTTTCATTCTCTAATGTTTGTGTCTTACTAAGAATCTTTTGGTTTGTAGAGACACAGTTTTTATTACACGTTTCACTTTAATAATGGCTTAAATAACGAGGTACTGTAACTGTAAGTTCGCCTGTGGAATTTGTGAATACCTTTTGAGAGCCTGTCATTTTACCTTCAACTTCAAGGGTGATTTGAAAGACAAAAATTTCAAAAAGATTAATTTATTAAAAAATTGAGACCGTACGAAGAAATTCAACGTTTTGTAATGGCCAAGTCCAAGTGCAGACATAAACCTCATAGAAATGTTGTGGCAGGACCTGAAACAAACAGTTCCTGCTAGAAAACGTACAAATGTCACTAAGTTCAAACGGTTCATCATGGAGGAATGGGCCAAAATTCCCACACAGTGATCTGAGGGACTGGTCACCAATTACAGGAAGCGTCTGTTTGCAGCTACTGAATCTAAGGGGGTGTTAACTTTTTCACAAAGGGACAGTGGATATAAGATGACTTGTTTATGAAAACTTTGGTTTTCTTTATATTTCACTAGGACCCAATTGACCCCCATTTTCTCTGTCTAATACATGGTCACGGATGAGCCAGAGCCTGCTCCAGTAGGAACGGGTACAAGTCAGGGTACGCCCTGGATTGCATGCCAGTCCATCGCAGGGCACACACATGCACACCAGCACCAATTTTCCCAGAAGCCAATTAACCTGCCAGCATGTCTTTGGACTGTGAGAGGAAACTGGAATACCTGGAGGAATGCAGGGAGAACATGCAAACTCCATGCAGATAGCACCTCAGGAATTGCATACAGGGCCTCAGTGCTGTGAGGAAGCAATGCTACCCATTGTGCCACTGTGCCGCCTGCTCTGATAGCATCTCTGAAGATGTGCAGAGAGGTAGAAAATGTGTAAAGGGATGCATACATTTTATATATGCGTCTGTGGTTATCTTCCCCTTGTTTTATGTTTTTGCAGACTTGGACCAGCAGAGCATGAACAGTGAGCCAGAGGAAACCTTTTCCAAAGACTTGCCAGAGTTCCCCTCAGTGGACGAGTACACCTCGATCGAGCAGGGGTCCCCCCGAGGCTGTGTGGGCCAGCAGCTCGAGACCGCCCTGGCAGCCCCTCCGGGGCCCGGGGGGCAGAGCCCCGCAGGTTTCCTGATCCAGAGCCTGGCGTCCCCTCTGCATTTCGTCAACACGCACTTCAACGGGCACGGGAGGCCACCAGGGACTGGAGAGGAGGCTCAGGGCCAGGGGCTCTCCCTTGAGGCCCTGAGCGAGGAGATTGTCAGCACGGCCATTTCCACTGTGGTACAGAACACTCTGTCCGCCCTCCTGCGCTCCAGCGAGGCCAGCGAGGGCCCCTCTATAGCCGAATTCCTCCCTCCGGAGCCCCAGACGCCCCTGACTGAGACTGACCTGAAAGAGGAGACTGAAAGCCCTGCCCATGAGGCGACGGCACCTGGGGGCCTGGAGGAGGAAGATTTCGAGCTGCTGGACCAAAGAGAACTGGATCAGATGGACGCGGAGCTGGGCCTGAGCTCAGAGCCGAGGGAAGAAGAGCAGGAACTGACAGTGGCGCAGCCTACAGAGACACCCTCTTCCTGCCCGCAGACGGAAGACTCCTAGCTTTATCGCCAATTCGAAGATGCTTCTCCTGTTTCTAAATATAAGCATATAATTACGTACCAGGGTTTTGCTCAGTGAAATGTAGCCACATTCACAAGAAATTTAATTCAGTCCTACTTACAAATGTAATCGAGAGAGCGTGGTCATCGTAGCTGAAACTTTTACCATCGCAAAGAATTTGATTTGACCGGACCATGATTTATAGTATATTAGGTGGTAGGTTACTGAGAAAATGATGTTGGCAGTGTGCTGTGAAATGATTTGGTTTTCACAAATGTTTTAAACAAAGTTTGATTAAGGCTGTGTTTTCTGTCATGCCTGACAGATATGTTGACAGTGGACTAGTTTTATGTAAACATAACGGTAAGGTTATCTGTAATCTTTAGTAACCCGATGATGAATAATAAATTGTACATATACCTGAATTCATACATGTATACATGCCATGTACAGAGACACAAAATGGCATTTCTGGAGTAAGCAGCTTGTTAACATTTTTAGTCTTCTATTGAAACATTAATTGACAGTATGGCTGTCATTTTACAGAACAGGTCTTTACATTATGGAAACTGAATCAAGTTGCTTTATGGATTTGGAAATACAAAAATGTAACTTATTAAAAATAACATACATATATTTCCATCACTTGTATATACCTTAGTTTAGTGATGAGCGCAATGACATACACGAGTACACCATTTCCTTGTGAAATCATGTTGGTGACTTTCAGGATGGTATAAGGAAGTGATGTTTGTTCTGGGAAGGATAAGTAAATCTTGCCTGCCTGAGTACAGACTGCCTCATCGTTTGGCCATAGGCATGAACATATTGGTATTCTATCTGTGTACGCAGATAAAGAAATATTAGGAATCGGGGTTCCTGCGGTTTTGTAATGGTAAGCATCAATATTGTTTTTGCTGACCCAATTGAAATTGTCTGCAACATGCACGAGACTCTAGACCCATTCCTCAAAAGGTGGGCATTTTCTGTAGGTGTCATCTTGAATTGTGTTTTGTGAAATATGTCTGTTTTTTTTTTTTGCATGACTTTACCTCAAACCATAATAGGGATACATGGGAACAAGCTACCTTTGTCCTTGTGTAAGGAAGTGATCTTTCAGCTTCAGCTGATTCTGTGTTGGTGCACAACAGACAATGTATCTTGGGACAGGAGTACTTTGAGAACTCTTGGGTAATCTGAGATGTCTTCTCCCCCGTTGTGATGAAAATCACACCATTAAATGTTTAACATTTTGAAAAGGCCATGCCGGGCGTTCAGAAGCTCAATAGTTTTGTGTGTAGATGCTCTCTGATCTTAGGAGAACTTGAATTATGACATTTTTGGAAAGGGACATTTATTACTTAAAATGGTGACATTTTTCAAGTCTCCTTCTAGTCTTTTCACCACTATAGTAAAAAGAGACTTATCCATTGATATTGGTTTACAAACCAAAGTAAATATATTGAATCCTGTTATGGATTCAATATTAATACAGGCACATTCATACTATTAACTATTACTTATTTCTCCTGTTCTTTAAACTCCCTCATTTAAAAAACTCTAAGTTATCTGTTCGGCTTTGCACTACAATGGATAAAGATTACAAATCTAAATGATCAGATTTTTATATATATTCAGCCTACATAAATTTTAGTTATTGACTGATAGTGGTGTTCCTCAGTTTCTGCCCTTGAGAGCCACAGTCTTCTAGGTTCCATCTGTTTATCCATTTTTTACAGTACTATAAAGCTTGCTGATCTGTTATCTTGGGCCAGAGTTGAAGAACAGAGCTACTTGAGCATTCCAAAATGACTATTCAGCTTTGGAACAAAAGTGTGACACCACAATAGAGATGGCACTTTAAAATGTGGTCTGAGTATGTGTAGTTAGTTGTGCATCAGCTAAAGAAACAAATTAAGTGTGAAGTCTGGAGGGAGTAGAAGCTTAGTCTGCAAAACCTTAGGATCCTTGTGTTTTTACTTCCACTGAACAGTTTGTTTAATCTGAATGATTCAATCAGGCTTCATTTTTATCAATTGTTTTGTAAGAGAGGTAGAAGGGTTGAGGCTTCTAGGAATGCTGTTGCCTGTATGTTTCATTCTTCCCATATTCTTATACGATTGTGGATGTTATCTTTTAAAAAAGTAAGCATTTTACTTTGAGCTTGAAGATGAAACACATGCTTTGTGATCAAAAACACTGCTTTGTAACGTTTTTAGTAAGTCCGGGTATCATCCCCATCCATTAACTACGTGGAAGCCCATTCAAAAGTGAGAACAGGAGGTACATATGTACGCAAAGGGGTGTAGGAGGATGCAACAAGCTTGCTACCCAATCATCTTGTTGAATCCAGTACCCTGAGATCCATGGATGACTAGCTATTGCCAAATGGCCTCCTCTCGTTTGTAACCTTTTGTAGATTATACTCTTATTTTTCAAACCAAAGTTAAATTAAATTAATCCAAATACGAAGTTATCAGGAAGGTGCTACCTGCTCTTCTTCTGACTGGTTGTGCTTTTATTTCAGTGGCCCCAGCATAGAGACTAAAGTGAATTAAGTATAATCTGCCACGATACCTGTTGTAAATGAAAACAACTTGATCCTGTCAAATCTTAAGAGTTTAGAAAAAGGGAAAATCCAAAATATAGCAGGGTATTGCAGATTTTTTTCTGTTCAAATTATTGATTGAATTGTGATTTGCGAAGTGTCAATTTTAAAATCTGCGATGTTTGTAAGAATTTGAGTTTGGCTGAAAGGAGCATGGCAATTTTTTATGTTTTCTAAATGAAAATAGTTATTGTGACTGTATATGCAGCCTTGCATAGTATTTTGGCAAACCAAAAATCGGTTACTTACAGTAGTATTACGGATTAAACTTGGTAAGGAGTGGGAGTTTTTATTGCAAGCATAGTTTTAGTCCTTCCAGTTCTTTTTCCTACTTGTGTGGTGTATACCGGTTCCTTGATAGAGATCGGACTTTTTTTTTCTTAGATTCCTCAGTTTCCTTTGTATCTTCTCATTTCAAGAGCGCTCACATAGCCTCTTTTTAAAATTTCTCTTCAGATAGCCCTGTTGATTAATCATGGTCAGGAGGACTCCAGTGGAGGGGACAGAACTTCTTTCCTAACATTTTACGCATGGAATGGACCTTGTCTTGTGGGAATCTGGAAAAGTTGTATGAATTCAATGTTTGAAAAGGTTTGCCAGTAGTCGTTATTAAATCACTTTAATTTAATATTCAAAAACCTGTAAAAATTACTTTGTACACGACCTATAGTGCTTCTATTGCAAACGTAAAAGGCAGAGCAGTGCAGCCAGGAAGAATTGCCTCTACATCACTACTTGTTATAAAGACACAGTGGTAGTAAATCACCCTTTTGAAGCTTTCTAAGTGTTAGTACATTAATGTTCTTTACCTGCAGACCTTTTGTAATGATATTGTTTCCATCTTGCCAGAAGGCTTGCTACAAGTACCCATTGGTTGTTATCTGCAATTAAAAGATCTCAGTTTTTCAGAGTGATTTCTGATTTAATTGTCTGGGCATTGTTCACATTCTATGTAAGCTGATGTACAGTTTTGACAGTTTCACACATTGGCTAAAAAAAAATCAATTTATATGCCTGAAAGAAGAATATCTCATCATACGTCAGGATCTTATAGGGTCCTGGGAAGCCATGAAGGTCTTGTAGGTCACCTGTGTGATGTGTCATTTGTGTTTTTTAGCACAAGGAAACTCAATTGGGTTTTAGATCTTTACAAATTGATGTTTTAAAGGTGACTTTTACGCCTTCTCCAGAACCTGTAGTCCAATATATAGCTCCAGTTATACAGTATATAGTATTTTAGTAATGCATAGTATGTAAGAAACGGGCTCTGAGCATGCATCAAGGAATTGTTGCTGTAATGATCATCATGAAGTAATCTGGGGAAAGATGAATGTTTTGCCTCCGTTGTATAGTCTTGTAAACAGTCTTACAATTGTAACACAATAACAGATGAGAATTAAAGTAATAACGTACTGTACTCCGCAGTGAAATGTTTTTTTTTTATTAAACTCATTCTTCCATTGCCTTTTCTTTTACTAAATTCAGTTTTTCCAACAGCATCATCATTTTTAGTAGAGACGTAAATAGATCTGGGTCATTAATGGTGATGATTATTTGCCAAGGCAATTAAGAAAGTACACTGCACTGTTATGAGCAGTTGATAATAGCAGATTATTTTTTTAATGAAGATGCTGTTCTGAGACAATGTCAGTTTGGGCAAGTATCCTTTTTTTTTTAGATGTAGTGTATTTTGTTTAAAACAAATTTGTGCTAACTTACGTGGAAAGCTCCGATTATACCTTCCTAATTTCTAAACGTTCCTTGTAACAAGTTCTCTGCTAAATCATGTCAGCTGTGAGTGAAACCATGAAACTACTACAGACCTTTGCACGTTCAGTAATATCACAAAGATGTTTTGTATTCAGTCTGTTTGATCGTATTGATACTTTGTAAACAGTTATACCTTTGTAAATGTAATTGCTGCTTGTGTTTCATACTGTATGTAAAAAGGAACCAAAATTCGGTACTTCCATACATGATAAGAAAATCATGAACTGAATCAGGCGTGCTGCTTTGTGGTTGTAAATATGACATTTTACCAGCACACATTTGTGCCAGTGATTAACATCATATTAATAAATATAATATATTAATGTACAGTAGCATGCTTAATATAAATATAGATCTGTAACGAACCTGTTTCATTATTTGAAAATGGAAGATGGGGCAAGTTTCAAAGCACTATTTACTGGATTCATAATTTAAACATTTTCATCTAGAAAATGTCTACTTTCCTTGAGCCATTGGAAAAAGGCAATAGGGTAGATGTATTATTAGGCAGTTCTCCTATACACAGAAATAACATGCCTTTTTGTAGTGGTACATTTGAGTATACTTGACATTTTAGATTTCTTCGTGTCTTATTCATACCTACCCATGATGCATTTGGACAAAATGAAGTAATTAGGGTCCAGTACATTATTTTATGAAAGCCTAAAATGGTACTTAAGGTACTGTTTTTAGGTATCTAAACTTTTGGTAATCATCCTGTGCCTATCTGAGTAAGTTCCAATAGTATTGTATTCTACTTCCGAATTTCATTTCACTGTTTATTTGTAGTTTTTCCTCCTGCATGAATCTCACTTTCTGTGTTTCTGCTTAGTGCACTTCCACTTCTTACACATCGCTTTTAAAAAAGGCCCTGAAAATGCAATACAAAATATTGATGGTAGGCGATAGTACAGATATCTTGTATCAATGAAACTGAACCTACAACAGCAAAAAAGAAAAGAATGAGCATAAAACAAACAATAAACCAGTCAAGGAACTCACCCTCAGGATCCATGCAATTCTGAGGTCATTACAAAGTGCATTAGTAGTGCGAAAAACATCCAGATGTCCACATATTTACCTTCACGCCTTTTTATAGATATGCCTGATGTTAACGCAAGTTGTTTCTGAGCATCAAAAGAAAGGGTATAACTGCAAAAACTTCAGAAATAGTCATCTTCAGGGGGCGTCCTGTGAAAGTCACGAGCAAATAGCCATCATCAGAAGCAATATAACTTCTACACAATCTGCCCCCCTTAAAGTTCCCCTTTAGTTCCATTGTTACTCCACCTGATCTCCTGTGTAGTGGGACTGCTATTGCAAAATGCATGTCATTGCCTCACCCGGGTGGATACTGAACTGCAGTCATGGGTGATATAGGGTCTCTCCCATTCACAAAGTGAAGGAGCAGCTTGAGGTCTTGTGTCGTGCTTCCGGAATGCTGTAACGTCAGATTGAGCCTGTAGGAAGGGTGACTGGTGAGGTCCCAGGACATACAGTATTCAAAGCACCACTGTGAAGTCAAGTTGCCTTCAATCACAAAAAAATGAGCTTCTGTAGATAATTGATTACGTCAGCTGTTTTCTGTTCCAACTGAGCTCTAAAACACCAGAGCTGATTGATGCCTTTAATTGATCAGAGGCGGAGATCCTTAGCCACAGAGCCACCCACTTTAATTTATAATAATTTATAAAGCATTATTTGGCTGATGCTTTTATCCAAATCAGCATATGTTTGTATCCATTTTTACAGCTTGTATTTTATCATAACCATTCAGGTGCCACACCCTGCTCAAGGGGACAACAGCTGTGTCTCATTTGGGATTTGAACCTGTAACCTTCTAGTCCAGCACCCTAACCCCTGCTACCTCACTTTCTTACCCTAATTTCTGATTGAACAGCTCTTAAGTGGTTAGTGTATGCTGACCTGAAAGAGGTGAAATGAAGTTTATTTTTCACAATAAGCTTTCTTTTTCCTTCTGCAGGGGTCCAATTGGATACATTTCCAGCAACACACCTGAATGGGGGCAGTTCTGAAACGCACAAATTGGTGTGGGGTTGATACCAGTTACAAAACACATGTGACCTTTTAAGACCCTAAAGCAAATTTTAGAGGGACACAGAGGGACAAAATCATGATCAAACGATTAGACTTGGACCAACCCATCGATCTTACCGAGGAGACGTGGTTTTGGCTGCAAAGGTAACAGGTTAGAGATTCGTGGTTGTGAACACTCGAGATAGCGAGCGACTGTGCTGACAGCCTTCTTAGCCACGGCGTGTTGAGTTGCTTTTTTTACTTGATGTTCTGCAGTTTACCACTTACAGTATATGTCCGAGTTTTTCACGTTAAGCATGAGTGATCAGTTCATCAAAACGAGGTCAAAAATATTTAATCAATATCGAATGTGCGCATGCTTCATTTCGGATAAACATGGGTGAATGATGTATCTTTTGACGCTTAATAACTTATAATGGATTTGTTTCCGGTACTTATTTCTGATTCCTTATATAAAAGAAAAGAAGTGATCGGCATTTGTACTTTACTTACAATTTGTAAGTTGAAGTTCAATTAGACGGGTGTTGTCGCACACTGGAAAAGAGAGGCAAGCTCAGCAGAATTTAATATAAAATCACTATTTCTGAAAGTTGACATAAGTTGATGACTATGACTCGAATTTGTTCTTACGTTGACCTTTTACAGTATGTAATTGTACATTAATAGAATATAAACAAATTTAATTGTATAAATTACCGCCTCAAAAGTGCGTGTATTTCAGAGTCGGCAGACGATAGTTTGAAATTAGGAATTAAAATTCAAGGGCAGTTAGACAGCACTCCTCTAATAAATTCATGTATTTGAAGTCACATGTACTGTACAGTAATGTGGTCAATTTAATTTTAAAAAAGGAAGTGATAGCGCTCAATCTGCAAGTTAGTCGTGTAGTACCAATACGGTCCATCAGGTGGCAGCAGACGAAACATTTTATTATCTGAACGCCCGTTGTGGCGAAGACGTCACAGCAAATGCATTTGTGCTGTAATCTATTTCTCATTTGAATTTTAAATATGGAAATAATGATTCTGAAATTGATTATGTTCTTTTTCATATTCATTTGGTTTAAAATTTTAGAACTGGGACATTAATACGAAGACTTGTTAAACATAACACGATTTGAGAACAGACACCTGTGTGTACGTTAAATATTGCATGTAATAGAATATGGTATACATGTGCTAAAAACGTAGCTTATGTTATAAACACGTCAAGGCTCTAAGCAGAATCAGACTGTAAGTAATGTGGTAGTCATGTCAGAACAAGTCACCATCTTAGTGATGCAAATACTGTATATGACAAATTTGAAATGATGAAAATTGGTAACAATGTCAAAAGAAAGGCTTCAGGTTTTTAAAACCCTTAAACAGAGAAATCAAGAAGTATATAAAGGTATTGATATTTCGGTTTATTTTACTATTTTGGTATGAATTAACTTTCTTTTTTCAGTGTGCCAAAAGCTATGATATTCCTGCATTTTATATCTGAATGTCAGTTCCACCTTCTTTTTTCTTGATGATAAATTGTAGTGATTACCAAATTGATGTTTTTATAAAAAGGGAATGTGAAATGTACAGTTATTTATAATACACTGTACAGTATATAGCCAAAATAACAGTGTTTTATAGTTAAACTTGGTCCTACTCAAAAATGCTTTTAGAACTGCATTTGGGAAAACTAAAAATTAAGTCTTGTTGTGTTCAAAAGCAGGTATAAATGAACAAATTGAGAGAATTTAAAGTTTACTGTGTCACAACTGTAATCTTCATTGGAACCTTTCAGTATTTAGAATACTAAACTAAAGAAAGTTTAAGCTGAAGACCTCGATTTCGGCTACCTTCCAGCAGCAAACCTGCTAGTTTAGGTTCCTGCTAGTACCCTGGTAGTTTCACAAGTTAACGCCATTATTCCAAAACTTTGATCCGCAGTTTCCTGTTGAATCTGGCTGATATGCCTTAGATATTGCTGTCAAGAAAGATAAAGTTTCAGAATAAATTGTGTACTTTTTCAGATTACCAATACTTTTGACCTTGTAGCAGAAAACATTCATTAGCATCTTGGGAAAAGACTGAAAGTGATACTAATGGCAAAACTGAATTTATTTACAAGTTCCTTAGCAGGTAACATGAAAGCTGAGGTCACACATTTCAGTCCTTAATCCCAGCTGAAGCTCTCTCTTTATCTGGAACACTCTCTGCGTTTTGTACATGTACCTGTCAACTTGAATTTCTAACCTAATGTCTCTCTCATCCTGAGCTGTTACCCTGGTATCTTCCTGTATGTTTAAGGCATAACAAAGGTAATTGTCCATGCTAAGCTTCATTATTTTCTGACAGAATGAAGTACCAAATGGATTTGGCTCACAAACTTTGTGATGAAGAAATTTCAAATGGTCAAATTGCCAGACTTTCAGAGATCAGTTGTGTGTCTAGCACTAGCACAGATTCTGTACAAGATGGAAATCAATTTGTCACAAAAACAAATGCTCCTCTATCTTTGAGTGCAGGAGGAATTCCCAAGGGCTGTTGAGTGAAATAATGAATATTTAAGTTTCTTCATAGTATCATAGTATTATACACTGTGTGTACTTAAAACAAAACAAATGCTATTTGTTTCAATAGTCATTTGTTGTTTTGTATTGGCTCTTAGTATAAA